CACAACCAGACAGTTCACATTTTTGCTCCCCCCCACCCCCCTGCCAGACAGTCCACATTTTTGCTCCCTCCCAGCTCCCTGCCAGACAGTCCACATTTTTGCTCCCTCCCAGCTCCCTGCCAGACAGTTCACATTTTTTTCTCCCTTTCAGCTCCTGGTAGCTGGGAGGGAGCAAAAATATGGACTATTTGGGGGTCCCCAAGGACCAGGTTGAGAAACGCTGATTTAGAGCCACATAAAAATGAAAGGATTCATTCTGACTTAAATCCATAGTCTATGACAAGTGTTGCACTAGAAGATTTTCCCCTCTTCTTTCTGTTTTTTTTTATAACAGGAAAGTGATGTTGACAGATGAGGGAAGACGTGAGCCAGCGCGGTTTAAGGCCAGGGTTAATTAAGTGTTTCCTCAGGCTGTGTTATTGACCAAGCGTGTGAGCGTCGGGAGCCCATAGCTGGGGAGTCGCAGTATGGGGGCTGTGCTGTGTTAGTGCTCTTAGACAAAGCCAGCAGCCCAAAAAATGCCCGGTGTGTTTGAGGAAAAGTTCTCCACCCTCAGTCAATTGAAATAAGCTGAAGTCAGTCATAGATTAGTACAAATATTTTTAAATCCTCAGGAATTCCAGTGCACATTTTTACAAGCGATTAAGTACGTACAAAGGGGTTCTTTTTGGAATGTGTTCCACTGTTTAGATGCAAATTTTGATAAATGAGAGTATAAATCTGTATTGGGAAAACTTTTAAGAACATTAAAACACTGAGGGAAGGAATTATAACCTGTAACCCAAAAAAATGTTACATTTTCAGTCTGTTTCTTTTGTGGTCCAACAAAATTACATCTATTGACACAATTTTTTTTAGTATGTTTGTTTGGTTAATCGTGTACAAAGAATTTCATTTAGCAGTGCCAGGGTTGTGGATGACAGTAGGGCAAATGTGCAATTTTTGACCTTAGAATTTCATGTTAAACATTTCTGAGTTATTTTCCGCGTGTGTATATGCATACTGTAGACTTTGTAACAGAGCAGTGGTCATGAAATGATATATTGTCTTTGTTCCTTTCCACAGGAAAATGACTTGAATGACATGTTAAAATCTTTGTACTGCCTCCCAGTGCCAAAGCCAAACAGTCCCGTCAGTCTAAGTGTGGTAAGTATTATTATCATTGCCATTATTAGGGCAAATGAAAGCAGTCATTTTGTGTCCAAACAAAATGGTTTTTAAGAATTGGCAGGATAGCATGTGCTGAAGGGCCACTTCTCCGATTCTGCTTTGTGTCCCCTCACTACAGTCTCTTTACTTTGTTTGATGTTTTGTGCCAGCAGTGATTCTGACCCCTGGGAAATGTTAATTGCCCTGGGCTTCTTCGTTTTGTAGATTCTGCCATTTAATGTGTATTTCTGGCATGTAAGGATACAGTTAAAGTGGAGCTGAATTTTTAGTTCTTAATAAAGCCTCCCTTTAGTAGTAACGAGAAGAGACACCTAGTCCCATATTGGTTACGTGTCCTGTAATAAAAGAAGCCGGTAATTGATATGAAAATGTATATTTTAAATGTAGTGTCTTAGCAAAGACAAGACCTTTATATTATATAAAAATCTTTACAGTTTTGGCATTGCATACATGCTATGAGCTTTTAAAATCATTGAGCTCTGTGCTCTTGCTTAATTTCGGAGTTAAGCATGTTTGAAGGCTTTTGTGGTATCGTAACATTGTAACAGCCCCTTAGGGACTGAGCCAGTTTTTGTGGAGACCACTTCGTGGCTCTTAACAACCTAAATGTAGTGTCTGTGTCCCCTGGGAGTGTTTTATCTGGTTTTTAAAACTGGGGGGTGGCGGGGGGGATTAAAGTTGATTCAGAGTCCAAATGCAAGCTGTTGTGTGTGTTTGAAGAAATTGCAGATGGTTTCTCCACAGAAAGGTTACTATAGGAGGGAAAAAAGCTGGTACTACATTTAAATGTATACTATGGGGAGGGGCTTGATTTATAATAGATAGACTAGAATATTGTGAAGCTGATTTCTATTTCATGACGCCAACTAGAAATAGATTTCTGCCCTTTCAAGTATGAACCTTGTTTTGCTCTCTTCCTCAATGTGAAAGAACGAGCAGTTGCACATTGCCACTGGGCAGGTTGCAAAAGACCCCCGAAGCCAGAAGCCGGTGAGTGAGGTGTACGGGGGTGCGCAGTGTCTTTGAAATCCAAAAAGTGCTGCTCTGTTCAATCGTAAGCTGAGGGCCCATCCAGCGCTGCCCAAATCAGCCTCTGTCTGTTAAATATAACAAAACTAACTGTCCTGGGTCTCAGTGTCTGTCTCTCCTCTTTTTTTTTTTTGTTTTTTAGAAGACAATCATGCTTCGTTAATGATTGATGGTGTTCTGACTGCTGCAGTCTCTTTTTGAATATGCTAGGCTTCTTTACTTTGCCAGTAAATGGGGAGGGGAGAGAGATCGGTCTTAGTTATCAAGTCTCCTTGATGCTTGACTCGTATTTAACGTCGCATCGTATAAGGCGGGTTCTGAAATAATGTCTTATGGGCGAGGGAAAACGGGCAACACTGTTATTGAAGTGCAGCGGTATTTAGGAATGATCAGAGTATGCCTTGTGTTTAATTTAAAGTGAGTTTATATAGATTAATATTCCTGTAATGCATTGTTGCCCTTGACTTCACGTAATTTCTCCAGGAGTCCAACAGGAAATGATGTAAAAAAAAACGAAAAGAAAACGTATATAAAAAATAAAATAAGTCCAGGTTTAAGGTTTCTATAAAAAGGCTTTTTGTGCCCCCAGAGAGCTGGTTGATTATTAAGTGTAGGTGTGCTGTGCTGCTCTTGAAACCAGCTGTGGGCAGCTCCTGCTCCTCTCTGATAATTGACAGTCACGGGACAATCGTTTCATTGGTGCGCTTTCACTTGCTTTCCAGGCGGTGGGCATTCACATGCTATGGCACAACCACTAACTGCATGACAAGCCGTCTCTGTTGTTGTTATTGTTATTGCTGTTTCTTGTTTGCGAAAGACCAGTTTTGTTGCCCCTTTAATGCAACTCTGGTTGTGCAGAAGAAAAGAGGTGGGTGTGTGTGTGTGTGGGTCATGATCAGAGGTTGGTTGCTCCCTTGTTTTCAGGTAACTTGTTGTGCTTGTTATAGACATTCGGGTTGGTGTAATGGGGAAGGTTGTGGAGAGAGACAGAAAGGAACACATGGTTAACGCAGCGGACTTTGACAACGTGCGGGGACTGGTGGGCATGTGTGCGCACTACAAAAGGTGCCCCTGCAACTTGGACCATGACTGTCCTGCCTTACGCTGCGGTGATCCAAGCACTTAAACATATGTTGTTGTCAGGAGCTGTTGCCCTGTTTGTATGCTGCACCTTAACCTGCAAAGAAGACTGTGCTTGTGTGGCCTCTTGTCAGTTTATGAAAGGTGTAGGCATGATAAAGTTATATGGTCCTTGAGACAGGGGAGAATGAGACGTATGGAATGTAGCCATGTCCTTTTCTGCCGATTTATTCCATTCTTATTTTTCTCTCCCAACCCCCCCCTCCCCCAGCATTCGTACTTCATAGCTCCTGATATTAATGGACTTCCTACCATTCCTGAAAGTGTAAGTAGTTTTGCCATTAGAGAACCTCATAAATCAACGAAATCACTCTGGTAATAAAATACCATTTTAATACATTTATTTTTTTTATTTTAGTTCATTTGTTTGTTTGTTCATAAGGGTTTCAGTGATACATTATGAATTACCAGAATCATTGTCTTTTAACTTATTGGTGGTTTTTAACAACCCATTTGGGGTAGCAGAGTAATTGGTGTCTGGCTGCTTTTTAAAACTTTAACTGTTCGGAAAACTTCCCACATTTTTTATAATTAGCCAGGAAATGCATGTCATTATTTGTTTGTCGGTTTGTTTGTTTTTCATTCATACATTCATTTATTCATTTACCTATTTTTATATAGTTGTTTGTTTATTATTCTTCTACCATGGTGTCAGTCTCTCCTCCCATGTGCTGTGGTGTCCTGAGCAATCCATGGAAAATATTATTCCATTTCTTTTACAGAGAAACCTGACTGAATACTTTGTTGCTGTGGATGTGAATAATATGTTGCAACTCTATGCCAGTATGCTGCATGAACGACGAATAATTATTACCTCAAGCAAGCTTAGCACTGTGAGTACCTCCTCTCTTAACAGCCTCTTATTTAATTATGTATTTAAATTTGTTTCCTTGGTAATAAAAGCGTGTTGAGTGGCACCTTTTGTCTCCTTTAACGTGCTTCAGGAGTGTCAGCTGGCTTTCAAATGTGCAGTATGCAGAAACTTTAAAACATGAGTTTTTCCATTGCATCTTTTTTGCTCATTTAAGTTTAGACTCGTTGAAGAGGAAAAGCCAATGTATTGATCGAAAGCAGAACAAGGGAGGGATCTTATTTTTTTTTGGTATGAAGGGTTAATAAAAAATACACATTACTCAAAGGTTGAATGAGGTTATTTGTCTCTTACCTGCGCTGTTTTATATCTGGCAGCCCATAAATGAGGAGTTATGATTTGCGGCAGGTCAGCTTTGCCTGCATAGGGAGTCGTCACTTATCTCCTATGCTGGCTTCAGTCCAAATGTTTATGACAGTTCGCGGCGGCGGGGGGGACCGAGCGAGTGATGTCATCCGCACGCTATCTCATACCGTTCCAGTTCACTATCTCAGAGCAGAGGCTGTGGTCCAGCAGGATCTGAGGACTCCCCGAAGGCGATGCCGTGCTGGGGGGGTTTATGAAATTCACCCCTCTCACATTTGCTACACCCATACTTCACATTCCATGACACTGGAGCATAGAGTATAAGGTGTATGCTATTTAAATACTCCTCCTGTTATTTTTTTTAATGCAGGTACATTAAAATGGTTATATTAAGCTAATGTACAGATGGATTGTAGGAAAAAGCCACCTTTACTTTGTATTGGTTTGAATAAGGTGTGTGTGTGTGAAACCTTGGGATGTGTGTATCTAGATCGGTGTAATCTGTACCTATACATAAACATGCACTTTGCTTAGGCAATAAAGTACGCAGTGAGGTAAAGTAATAAGCAATACTGTGAATACTCCCCCCTCCTTGGCTTGGTTTCCCAAGTGAATGATATATAAGAGGATTCAGTCCTGGCTGCTGTATTGTCCAGCTGGACAGGCCACCGTCGTTCCAGTGAGTTGCCTGGATGTGGAAAAAAAGAGAGAAATTTAAAAAATAAATAGCAGAAAGTGCATTTATTATGCATGCTGTGGGCCGGACCTCAAAGTCGAGGCCCCTGGTGAACCTGCTGTGCCAGTGTAGCAGAACATCACTGCACGGCTGCGCCCATTCAAAGCGGAGGCATAAATCATGATTTTACAACAATGCATCAGTTGACTTATTGCTGGTCTGTGACCAGAGGTGAGGAGTTACCACTCTGTTTATACACACACGCACACACACACGCACACACACCTTTTAAAGATGTGTCGTTGGCTGCAGAGGCAGCCAAGCGTGCCGGCTTCTCGTGTGCCAGTATAATTGTACTGCATGAGATTTCCCCTAACTAGCCGACTGGGGCCCGCCACACGTTTTCTTGGTGGGGGCCCGGCTGGGCCCGGGTCTGACAGCAGCCTTCTCATCATGCTGTCAGTGTTATGCTAACGAGAACTGATCCTCCATGGCCTGTAGTGGTAGCCGTAGAGGTTGCTCTGCTTCAGACTTCTCACTTTTTTGTTTTTTTTCCCTTTAAACCCCCCTTTTCATTCTCCCCTCTTCCCTGTGGAGTGCTGTCTACAGGGCGGCGTTCTCTTCCCTAAGGTCTCCTGTGAATCTGGGTTATTTTCCGATCCATGCCACCTCGCTCGCGGTTCCTCCCTTTTCTCGTGTGTGTGTGGCCTCGTCTAACCCAGAGTTCCCAGGCTTGCACCTCCTTCTGGTCGCTTTAATGCCACCTACTTGTTACTGGGCCCACCTGTGTCGGTACCTGGCTGGGCGCAGGCGTTCGTCAGCGGAGAAAGAACAGTGGTAATTGGAGCCTCAGAAAAGACTAAGCGGAAATGTCTCTCCTCTCTTGAAGTCGTGTTTGATTGCGATATTGTCAAGCTATTGGTAGGAATTCTTCCTATTTACCTTTTTTTTTTTTTTTTTTTACATTTTCTTCCAAAGAATTTTTCTTTTTCCCTTTTTACTCATTTCTAAACCCAAGAATGCCATTTTGTAAATCAATATGTTGTGTATTTCCACTTCTTATTCAATGGGTTAACTGTTTCTTTATTTCGTAGCAAATCTCCCCGTTCTGCTCTTTCGCAAAACAGGTTGTATTTATTTGATTACAGAAAGATGTCAGAAAAACATCTATTAGTTGTCAGTGTAATACTTTCTCCATTATAATTAAGATTTGCTCCTTTGGAACTATTTTAATACTTAATATTTCCCAAAAAAAAAAAAACCTCTGATTTTCACGTTAACATTTATGAGGTAATATCATTCATGTTGTGCATCTGTTCTTGTGTTCAGTATGGTAGGTATATAGATTTGTAAATCAATGTGTATAATCATACAAGGCTTATGAGAGAACAGTATTTGTATTTAAGTAGTTGATGTGGTGTAGGATTGACCATTAGCTTTTGATAGCCTAATAACTCATTTTTCATCATTTTTTCAGTGTAAGTTGTATACCGTTTTGGCGGAAGAGTAATCCGCTTGTGCAGATATCTCGTTAATGTGTAACTCATCTCAGCAGGTGAAATCTAGCCAGTTGTTCCAGTGAATTGTTTATATAATTCTTTACTGAAAGGAATCTCTCTGTGTGGAACATACAAACTATTTGACTTCCAACATTCATTATTTGTCTGGCAAATCCTTTATCAAGATACTTGTGCTACTGGATTTTAGAAAATGTGTTCGGGGGGCCAGAAAGTTACCAGATTGTCTTATCTTTTTGTCTTTTGATTCAGGCTTTACTAATTAAATAAAATGCCACAGTTGAATTTGGTTACCTTCATTGAAATTATTTGTGCTGCAAACCAAAGCCTTACCCTCAAGCAATGGGTTTTGGAGTGGGTGGGGGGGGGTCTAGGAATCAAATGCATGATGTGCTTTTAACTGTATCTTGGTTACACCCCCACCCTGTTATCTGAAGTCCAGAATCCCTTTAAACCTCTGAATAAATCAAGCCAGTTGGCCTAGCCTCGGTGCCGTGGTGAAGGAATTGGCGTTAGTAAGCAAGTGTTGCGGGCCGTTACTTCATGGTACCAACCATTGAATTATTTCCTCTGAGAGATGAGAGGCAAAGTGTTTACACTGTCATTGGCAAGATGAACGTGTGAAGCTTTTCCCTTCTTTGTTTTTATTCTCTCATGTTAAATTGCAGTGTTCTTAAGATCAGAGTTCTTCACGGGATTAAAAATAAAATATTTATTTTATTTATTCTTAATATTTTTTTGTTCAGATATGTCACGTACGTTGTTTTTATATAATTGTGTTTAGAATTTAATATAGGTCTGTATTACTAACGTGACAAAAAAACAGAACATGATCTTTGCTTGAAAATTGCCCCAAAAGAATATGTCATAGGTAACAAAAGTGTGCATATGAAAAAAGACATCAGTCGTCATAAATGTTTAGCAATTATGAGGCTGGAGCTGTTCTTTCCTGGAAAATGGCAGCAAAAGTGAGTGATTTCCCCCCCCCCCCCCAAAAACATACATAAATATTCAGTCGGCGCACCAATGGGCAGGCAGGTGCTGAGGGTGTATTTTGCTTACTGCAGCACAGCATTTAGCTCGGCCAGCGTGCCGGACAATCGTGACATTGTGCGTGTCAGAGAGTCGGGTCTCCTGATAGCCCGAGCTGTAGTTCGCACATTACCGGCGCTCCAACTGTCGAACATACTGGTCCCCTGGTATCATTCCAGTTTGCAGTCTCTCTCGGAGAGCTCATGTTTCATTCTTTGGCAATTTGCCCTAATGATATCCCTGAGGAGCCTTCAGACCTCTGTTCTTTTTCCATATTTAATCATGTTATTTTAATCTGGGAGATGAGCAAACAGAAGTGCGCCGGTCATTAGGATCCACAGGGCGAGGGGGAAGCTCCCTCCAAGTACGAGGCACAGGCATCATCGATCACACTGACATGGTTTACAACTCTGGGTTTATTTGTATATCAACATTAAACTCATTTACAGATATATTCATATTTTGAAAGCAAGTGTGGTATTTTAATTTTGTTTTATGAATGAAGTTCTGGCCCATTCCCTGGTACCTGCTCGCACAGGGGTTTATATTTTGTTCTGTATATTGTGTTGTTGTTGTTGCTGCTGTTTTCCGTACACCCAGTTTCCCTTAAAGCAGTCTGTTTCATGTTGTAGTGCATTCCTTTTTTGACCCAGAAGTTGCTGCTTCTCCAAGCGTTTTTTTTGTTGTCCTTTTGCTTCCATCCTTCAGTTAACTGCATGCGTTCACGGGTCCGCTGCCATGCTGTATCCAATGTACTGGCAACACATTTACATCCCTGTGCTTCCGCCACATCTCCTGGATTACTGCTGGTAAGGTCACTGCTGCCTCCTCAGCGGCTTTCACGTGCCGCGCTCTGCCGCTCGAACAGAGCCCCGTAGTCAATGACTGTGCAACGCGCAGGAGAGATCTCATGGCCTGTTATAAATATTCATCTTAATTCATGTGTTTCGCACATGCTGTTACTGTTAAACCACGTGCTTAATACCTGCTCTAGCTTGCCGTGCATTTAAGGACAGACTTTGGTTATGTAAGTCAGTGTATTTCTTGGATTTTTTGCACTTGTTAAGCATGACGTTCAAGCTTTTTGTTTTTTTTATTTTTTTTAATCAGTCATGTCTCTAGAAGGCTGGTTTTGGAACATACAGTACCTTGATGAGATGTGCACTTAGAAAACACATGCACGCCACGTGCACCGTCCTTCACTGCAATTAGTGTTGACGTCTACAGCTACGTAATGTCAGATACAGCTACTGAGACTGCTTGTGGATATGACAAGGGGCTGGTTCTTTCGCCAATTTAAATACTTGATTTTTAAGCTCCTCTTTCTCAGTGCACTATGGCTATGTATCAAAGTGAAATATTTATACATTTTTATATTACCACTAAGTGTTTGAATTCAATTATAATTGCATAAATCTGCTCAACAAGCATGACCAGTTTATATAAAAGTAATTCACAATAAAATATTAAATTATTAAATAGAATAAGCAAATAGTATTTAAATTTCTATATCCTTACAACTGAATTACTGCCGATATTTCAGAAATTTCATGGCAGGGTAAGGCAAAGGAGGCTGTTGAATACGGTCCTTTGTGTACACAGCTGCGCAGATGCTACCGGGGACTTGTACGCATCTTATTTACAGTGAAACCCGATTGCACAACCACAGCAACAGCTACCACACCAACTGGGCTACACAAGGCACATCTAATTACCGAGTCCAGCAGCCTCTGCGCACAAACATGAGAAGTAATGCTCTATAATTAATTGCATTTAGAGCGTAAAATAACGATTTTAGGAATACTGCATTGGGCTAACAAAATTTCACTTTGCAGGCTGCCTTGCTTATGATTCATTTTGCCCCCAGAATACACATGGATTGTTTGTTCAGCTACTGTCAATGGATATGCTCTTTCTCAGTTGTTGTAGTTTTATTTACTCATTTCCAATCCTCCTCCACCATCAAAAATAGGCCTGAAATACGCTAGTGCTTTTTACTGTAACAAAACCCAGTCTTCCCATTAAGATGGCAGGAAACACATGCGTTTAAATATTTTGTACACTAGTAAAATTTGTGAATAACAGAAAATATGTAGTCAAGTGAAATGTGCTATAATGTTTCTTTTATCAGTAGTGGTTTTAAGTCATTAGTGTATTTATAGAGCTTAATTTTTTATTATTTTCTTTAAATTACCCGCAGTGCCCCCATGCCGTATCTCATTGGAGTTCATCTCAGTTTATTGGAGGTATGTAGCTATTTTACAACATTGAATTTTTAACAATTTCTTCTTATCAGTAAATTTTCCTGCCCTGCTTGGCACTGCCCTCGCATGTTCTCCGCCCCTCGCATGTTCTCCGCCCCTCGCATGTTCTCCGCCCCTCGCATGTTCTCCGCCCCTCGCATGTTCTCCGCCCTCGCATGTTCTCCGCCCTCGCATGTTCTCCGCCATGCCTGTTGAACGGTATTCATTGCAGTGTTTAGCGAAACCTAATTTTCATTTCTTTAGTTGTAACCCCAAAACCATTCTTGAATGTGAAAATTTTAAATTACTGTATGCATAAGAAATTATAAACATATTTAAAATGAACGATGAGGTTTCCATGGCCATAAAACGTGTTTAGAATTGAACCAAAGCTGCCCCCCTCCAAAAAATGCTATTGTTTCATTATTTTGAGACACTGCCTTGGTTGGCAGTTGATTTATGGCCCTGTTCTTTATGTGAATTTGATACACCTGACAGTGCTGGCGATGGCTGTGTTTATCCCACGTGCCATTAGTGACAGTCCTCCTATCTGAGTGCATATAATTAAATGAGATCTGCATGCACGTCTCCATAGCAGTGACTGTCAGAACGTGTCAAGCCAGGAATTTGCACTCTGCTTTCTTCCACCTGCAGTATAAAAAATAATTGTTGGATTAGTAGCTATAGGAATAAATACATAATGATTTTTTTTTCTTCTTCTTGGGTGCATTGAAATATTTTTGCTTTGAATGAATGACAATAGAAATCACTCTTCAGCTTTGTGGTTGCATTTGTTCTATATCGTTCTCAATATTTATCTTTTTAGCTTTCATCACTTAAATTGGCATAATAGATTGATATAAGCTGTGGTATCAGATGGTAGTGGTTTAATAATTTTGCTTTTAACCTGAAATATAAGTTATAATTTTATGGAGAGAGAGAGAGAATATTTGTTGTAGTCAGAGGTAGTCTTGGGTCTATGAAATAGAAAAGAAAATGTAACATTGTGTTTGCACAGGAACAGAAACCAGCTTAGTATTCTTATATTCTTGTTACAGAGAGTTAAGAGTAGATCCCTGGAAGATGTGGTCATCTTAAACGTCGATACAAACATGCTGGAAAGCCCCACGGATGACCTGCAGAACCTGCCAAGTGATGTGGTAAGTTCCTTGAATCTGTCATCTTTCCTGCTCATCCAACATTTCATATTATTCAGTGGTTCTCATGCAAGACTCCACTGATATGTATTGCATATGCACACACTGTATGTATATATAATGTGTACATACAGTGTGCATGTATGTATCTACTTACCTAAAATACACGCACCTTTGGCTACACAGCTGTGTTGTGACTCATGCAGGGAGTATGACATTGACAGTTTTGCATCACTGTAATAGGGGTTAAATATTATAAATATATACAGTGTAATAATAATATGACATTTATTGTAATATTTACGAACTCATATTACAATTATTCTGCCCATGATAACAGCATAGTTTAATAAATTGTCATGCTTGGAAATATCTATTAACCCTTATTTCTAAGTACATTTCCAATCTTAACTTGGCATAAGAACCAATTTTGGAAAAATGCCACTGTAAAGTAGTTCAGTAAGTTCTGAAATGGTAGGCACAGCTTACTATACTTTAAAGGAATTATGTAACGTGACAGAAACGTTACAAACAGTAGCTTTTTCAATGGCTTACTTGGTCTGCTTATTTGTGTGTGATTTCCATCCAAGACGCTGTTTACACATCCAAGGCCAGCTCTGCAAGTGGGGCTGACAAATTTAAGCAGCGTTTTCCCAAAAACATCTCCAGCACTATTCAGCTGCTTAAAAAAAAAATGAGGGTGTGTGTGTGTGTGTGGGGGGGGGTATCCAGTCAACTGCATATCGCCTTTTCTTACTATTAAAATGCTGCCTCGCAACATCAGTAGCGCATTCCAAATCAGTGCTTAGAAGTCGTGTGGCATGTCATTAAAAGGCCAGTGGTATTCATTAGCCAGCAAAGCCACTGAAATGCCGATCTCTTCATCTTCATATTAATCATTATATAACAAAGTAGGCATATTTCTGTCTGCCTAGTGGCCTGTCTCTCTGAAGAAAAGAGCCAGAAATCTGAAAACAGGAGGAGGAAGGGAGCCAATTACTAGTTCTAGCTTTCCAGCCACCTGCCAGCACTTTTCCCTTTAATTAATGATCTGATGACACCGGTCAGTAGAATGGGAAATGGTGCTACCATTAGGGTCAAAAAATGCCTGTCATCCATGCGCAGACATAAAAAAGGACCCCCCCCCTTCCCTATACACACACTCTTTGCTGTGTGTGTTTTTGGATGGATTGGTTGTATTGATCACCCGTGAATTTATTACGAACACGCTGCCTCTGCCGAGCTTAGATTTTGTTTATAAACTATTTTGCAAACTGCGCTGTGAAAGGGAAGGGAAGCGAAGCAGGGAAGAATCCTTTATTGTCACCATTTTAATGAATGAAGCAGCAGCCGAATGCTTTCTTTGATCTCGGGTTGCCGTCATTCACCAGGTAATGATAAAACGTACCCTGCACATCATGTTAAATCGTCAGAGCTCATCACATGCAAAAAGGCGCTTAGCTGTTTGTGTGCATTCCTTTTCAGCTTTCAGGTAAAGTTAATTAGCAACTCAGTTACTAACCAGGAACAATGCAAGGTTATTTCTTAGCTTCCAAAGAGAGTGTTGCTAATCAGTTTAATTATGTGCCTAAACTGCGATTTGAATTATAATGAACGTGGTGTGTTATATTCTACTCTACTCCTTTCCTTTGGCCCTAAATAAGATGTTTTTTTTTTAGTCAAAGTCCAGTGCTGTAAAAGATCCTTTTAGAATATGATATTGGGAGAAAATTATTCTTTACAATTCCAGCATTTTCCTTCCTAACTGCAAAATTACAAAACAGGACCCTGAAGCAATTGATATGCTTTTGAAAAGGGAAGAAAAAAAGAATTTGCCCATATATTAATTTAAGTAAAAGCTTTTGAGATCGGGCTAATTATGAGCTGGGCAGGTTCGTCTCCATGTGGATTGTGTTAAGATGGTCCGGCCAGTGGTCCTGCTTTTAGAAGGGTCAGAGGTCACAGTTGTCCTGAATTACGTGCCTCCTTTTTAATGCAAGTCCCTACACTAGGCTGCGGCGTGCCAGGCTTAATGGCCATTTTTCCGAAATTCACACATAATATTTTAGATTTATTGACTATTAGAAATGCTTCCACGCCAGTAGCGGTTCCGTTCTTCAAAATCCTAAAGATTTACAAATAGGAAGAATAATTGGTCTGAGCTCGAAACGGATGCGGCCCTCTTTTGATAATTATTTCGGAGGTTCTTTTTATTGGAAACAGAGCATGCAACATGGTTTAAGTACACTTCTAATTGTATTTTTTTGTTAGAAATTTGTATTGGTACACATTCTAAGAATGTCAAACCTTGAGAGTAGTTGTAAATAAATTATCTGTGTAAATCTTTTGGGGAAAGAGTAGTTTTACATTTTATTTGAATTGGTATTAGAATGAAGTTTACTTAGTGACACGAAAAATTGCCAAAAATATCCATAACTTTTTTTTTGTGAAATATGTAAATCTTTATAGTGTCTGTGTTGTAGGACTTTTTTTGTTATTTCATATAACTGGACATGGTTTTTTAGAGTTAGTATTTAATGCAGTATTTTTAATTAAAAAAATATTTGTAGAACCGATTTAATGATGTGATATAATTGATTTAAGAATCAATACAGACTTAATTTTACAGTTTAAAGTTTGTTTCAAATTTTTATGATTAGTGTGACTTCAGTATATTGCCTGTGTATTGTTGATGCATTGGGATATTCGGGATTATACTTCTCATAGTAGGCAAGTCAATTACTTTAGCAGTGTTTTTATTAAAAGCCATCAAACTTGCCTTGTCCGACAGAGATTAATACTACCATTTGGCTTGTTCCATAATCATCTTGCCAGACTGACTCTGAGCAGATTCCAATTTTTATGCTTTTGCAATCTCATTATGAAATATACACGTAACTTTGTATATCTCCTGAACTCCCAAAAATTAAAGGTATCTTGAGATTTGTATAGTATGGTGAATTTTTAAAGACATGTGCATATACAGTGAATTTTGGTATAATAAAAAACGATTCCTTCTCATCTGAACATCCAAATTGGTAAATGATTCCAACTGATTATTAACATGCCTATTAATGAGAATAAAATATATTTAATCAATATTTATAAGCTTTGTGCATGTTAACGTCTTAATAAATCTTATAAAATTAATACTGGTTAACCCGTAGTGTATTTTGTTCACTGATTTTAGATTTTTAACAGACCTATTTGAATCATATTTGAGTTCTTTTTAGCATCATTGAATTGTACGAAAAGAAACTTAAAACCCGAGATCATCAATCTTTCCGTGCACGGACAAACGTGTCTGTGGCAAGACTCGTCTATGACTACTGCAGAATGATCTGCGTGAGGAAAACTGTGTAGGTTACGTTTTTAATTACAATGTCCGTGATGAAAACTGCATTTTGGTCAAAATGTCCGTCAGAATCCACCATGGGGTTGATCACTATTTAAACCCATAAATACATTTTAAATGGCATTGTGCTGCTAATTTAACTATAGAATTTAGTTCACTTATTTCCTGTGCGCGATCCTGATGATTGTAGGCTACAAGAAAATCATTTAATTTCATCTTCCAAGTCAGAAATTCTCGGATTAATCGAGTTACTTATAGTAAATGAAGGTCATACAACCTTCGTGAAAATGTTATATATAGGTTACATATTATAACACGACATTGTTTGATATTTGTTTTAGTCGTTTGAGTACAGAAAGTACAGCTTTCCATTATTAAGTGAGAATATGTCGCAATCGCATTAAAACCATTCAAAAATTGTCCAGATCACGGTGCATGACGAATGTATTTGTGTTGCTGCAACTTGGAGTTCGAATTTGAATTATGCATGATATGTTTATTAAGAGGCTAAAGTTTGCGTTTTAAACTGGATTTTATAGATGGGTCTCATGGCTAAAACAGTACCAACGCCTGGTATTTTTAATATATATGATATTTAAATAAACGTAACTGAAATACGTATTAAATCATCTTTGGGTGCACACGTTTAGTTTAATTCCTTGAGTTGAAGTTGGCGAATATATGCATATACACACAGAATTCCCATACGGCTTTTAATGGTCGCATAAGTCAGTTGTCATCTTTACAGCGGAAATGCACCGAAACGTCGTATTTGTGTAACATCTCGACTCGGCGGCGCTACACAAAACGTCATTCTCTCAATTTCCAGTGACGGTGTGTGAAAGAAGCGGCTGGGAACATGCTGTGCGACTCCGCTCAATGGCGAGCTAATGCTGCACCGAGGCGCTCCGGCGAACTTAACGCCGAGTGTAGACGGCAGTTTGCGGCCGCGAAACAGCAGTTAGACGTGCTGCTTCATCTCTCATTGAAGGTTTCCTCACCTGTTGCACATTTCTGGGCGATCTGCAGCACGTACATCCGGCGTGGGAAATCCGGCAAAAGGCAACTCTTTTTAGTTAATGTGGCCCTTTAATATTTAACGTGCACTTAAGATACAGAAAGGCAAAAATAGCGTTTGAGTTTCTCCATTTCAAAGGCCTTGAATTTTTGCCTCCCTATCCTGCAATTTCTAAGCAATAAAATGATTTGTTTTCATGAGCAGAACTCATTTTCTTCCTTCTAATTACTGTAATATAGACAGTTTTGAATTGCAAACTATAAATTCACATATCTCACCAGAAGTCTATGTACATGTTTTTTTGAGTGTGAGTCTGCAAGAGGGCAAATTACAATATAACAACTATATATATAGATATATAAACACACACACCACCAATTGTTAATATGTGGGGGTTTTGTGCATTTACAATTTTGGAGATGAATGTGTATGTGCAGGATAATGGAGATTGCTTTCGATAAGCAACTGGAAGACGGACAGAAGTATATATGTACAGTTTGTACTTATTTTCAGTAGTTATTTCATTTTTCAGCTACTATTTACAGTAGCATTGTGTTGTAATTGTTCCGTAGCATTTTATCTTAAATTAGCGATTTAAGGTAAAATTGTATAGGAGAAAGCTCCCTTTACATTTTTATTTCTGTTGCTGTTGAAATCACAAGTGTTATTTTACAGTGTACATGTTTCTCCCACTAATTTTAACCATATTTACCTAGTTTTTGATGAACGTGATATATTTGCTATATGGCATGAAAGCAGTTTCGTTTGGTTATAAATACAGGATATCAAGGTGAACTGATAAATTGTGAAAGTGGGTGTGTCTAAAAGTGCATCGTCAGCTCTTTCCTAAATCCACGAATGCCACAAATACTGCAGCACAAATTAATGCTGTAGCTGGTAGACAGTCTGAGTAAGACACACTAGCTGCCGTTTTTTTGGCCTGTTGACATTTCCACTGACAGACAGCGATGAGTCACCGATCCGAATAAGAACATTGCAGCAGGTGACGGCGTTTACAAAGGTGGAACTGTGTCCGCTGGTCTGTCAGCATCTGTATAAAGATTAATAACTAAACGAAGGATTTGCAATAATATTGAGAAGGAGAATATCCATCCATTTTTAATACTGATCAGTGTTGTATGATAGATGGGGATGTGGTGGAGTACAGCCAAGATGCTACACTGTTTCTGCACTAGCGTAGAAATACACCACCCAGGCTTGCTGGATGCTGTGGGTCATCTTCAGCAGTCTCCTATCTGTCCTGTCCCCCACAGAAACCTCACAGCTATAGAGGAGTTTCTCAATGTATGATTTTTCATTTTAGCATTAATGGAAAAAATGACTGAATATGCAGCTTTTGCATCCAGTAAATAACTTGGATTAAATAACAAACCAGATTAACAAATGGTTTGTGTTTGATCGTAATTTAAAATGTTTAAAATTGCTAAAAAAAAATCAGCAAACCCCGCATGAACTTTTAAATGTAACACTTGTTTTTTTTTGTTTATCTTTAAAAGAAATCCAGAAAGGGGTATTTGTTGATGTACATTTTGTGGGTATCTGTAGCTGCTTTTCAGAATTGTATCAAGCAGCGGCTGACATCTAGTAAAACCCCACGGCAAAAACGCCTGATATCCTTTAAAATGACAGTGATGCACCTGCTAATTACCATCTCCAGCTGGTGAGTTAAATGGAGATCTGTTTTCTGAGCGACCCCTGACCCGTGATCTTTACGTGGTGCACTTCAAACCCTGTTCAGAAGTTAATGGAATAGAGTTTAATGAGGCTCAGTGTATGCCCTCCACGGGCTAAGCGAATTGGACGGCAGGCTTTTATCTGGCTCCGTCCTCCCTTGATGTAAATTGAAAAGATCACAGCTATGGGGAAAAGACCTATACTGGAAAGGCCTCCCTGCATAGATTATGAATATCATAACTCAATGATCCTCCCCCCCCCCCCACTTCGATACCGTAGTTATAATTGGACCCAATGGGGGGAATCTTTCTTTGATCAGATCATAGCTGATGTGACTTTACACTAAAAAAATGTCACTGCCAAATAGGTTTATCACCTGTAGTGCTAAGCTTCTCTCTGATGCCTCGTTTGTGTCTTGTTAGTATTATTCAAAAGGTAATATTTAATTAACAGTGCCGGCGGTAGCACTGCATGCCAGATAATATACACGTGCCGTTGTCAGAGCCAAATCGTTGGTTTTGATTTTTAAATGTCAATGGTATTACAGTTTTGTCACTTTTCACTCTGTTTTTAATTGGGTACTTTTTTTTCTGAGACAAGTCTTTTTTTCCACCCACCTTTACCTACATATGATATCTCTTTATTCATTGCCTGGTGGTCGGTTCTGTTCAAAAAACAGTTTGTTCTTTTTACAGTATGATTATATTAGAATGACTTTGACAGTGGTGAATTTTATTCTCGTTGCTCCGTCTTCCCGTAACGTGACTCAGATGTGTGCCAACTGCACGTGATATGAATGAAGGCTTTCAGAGGATCTTATTTCCGGGCCCCCCCCCCCCCCTCTGCTTGCACACAAATCAAGCCCTGATGGAGGCATCACACTTGAAGTGCGTTTCAGTTTTCCAGTTTATTCCGTATTAACAGGGATCCCTGTATAATAAGAAGCTACGCTTTTTTTAACCCGAGTTTTGAAAGACGCATGCAGATGATCATAATTAGATTCATCGGTATTTTCGGTAAGTTACTTATGAATCATGAAGTTAATAGTGTTTTTGTCTCCTTCTGTCAGCTCATGGTTAACCCTCACTGGAAAGTGACTTGCACTGGTTGTCCAATCAGCTCTCCTCCAGTGAGAGTCATATGCTCTGAAAGCCACGCTGGTCAAATTCATGGTGGAGTGGCTTGGATCAGATTCAAGGGCATAGGAGAGAGTTTGATTGGGGGGGGGGGCAGCTTAATAATTTCGATTCAAAGGTCTGTTTATTTAGCAAAATTTCCACATTAAAATCTATACAAGTGAATCCTCTGCATTATGCAGATAATTGCTTAAGTTTCTTTTTGTGCTTATAATGATTATTTGCACAATTTCGCCTTGGACCTGACTGTACTGTTTTTGCTACCAAGGTAGCACAACCAAACCAGACTTGCTGTCCGCCTCGACACAAGCTGTATAACAGGCAGTGTCTGACAGCACCAGCATCTAGGAAGGAAGCCCTCTGTTACTAACGAGGAGAGCCGCTTCCCTGTGTACTGTGCTTGCTTTTGTTGTAGTACTGATTCTGCGGCAGACTGCACTTGAGTGGCAAATGGCGGACGTTATAATTAGTGCTTTATTTATGTTGGGCTTATTTATGAAGCCTTGAAGTGCTATGGACTATGCCCCCCCCCCCCGTCACCACCACATGCACTGCAAGCCTCCCCTTTCACACACACACACACATACACACACGCACACACAACTTCGCCTCAATTAACAGACCAGCAGGTGCTCCCTGCAGCACAAAGGATAAGCTATCTGGGAGGAGGGAGGCTTTTTTGGCTGACCTGCAAATGTGACACTTCACACCCCGATAGGGATTTGAGTCTTTCCACCAATTTCAAAGGTGTTAATTTAACTTTTCTCTTCTTCCTCTCTGTCCCCATCCTTGTCGTTGGCCCAGATCTCCACGCTGAAGAGCAAGCTGAAAAAGCAGTCGACGGCGACAGGCAGTGGGGTGGCCCGGGCCTTTCTCCGGGCTCAAGCTGCCCTTTTCGGATCCTATCGGGATGCCCTGCGATACAAACCTGTAAGATTTCACCTGCTTGCTGTCAATCAATGAATGCATTTGTTGGAGATGAATTAAGGCAGTTCAGGCAGGAATAATGTAGGTACTTCTGCTCCTGGGCTCCAGTCATACGTACATAGCAGGGCGCAGTTAAGGAGGAAGAGATCCAGGGCAAGTGAGATTCCAGCACAAGGCAGACAGCCTCTCTTCTGAATACCTTTATGGAATAACTGCATGGTCCAGTTTCAATGTCAAGATATGTAGTGTATCAGAAGGTCTTTCTGAGCTGTTTATAAATTGCCAAACACCATATACCTCTTTAGTATTCAGTATATTGTTTCACAGTAATGGAAAATGTCAGCTTTACCACATAATTAGAATTAATGTTTTGCTCACGCATTTTTTTTCCTTTTTCGGTGATATAAGTTACGTAGCTACTGTTCAGAGTATGCCTTTAAGTGGCAAGCATGGTATGCAAATGTTCCGGTTTAATAGGGCCAGCTCTGAGACTCATGGAGGAAGAAGATCAGATATGCCCAGAAACACAGTTAATAAGGTACTCAGTCAGACCACGGCTTGAGAGACGATCCCTCACCAGTCACACGAGATACAAACCGATGCCAAAGTTGAGAGATGCTCCCTACTAAATATTCTGCTGTAGAATTTATTCGAATAATCCTTTTGTTGTTTATAAAAAGGACACGCACTCCGCTTTAAATTGGCTAGTTAAGATCCAGCTGAAGGAATGAATAATGTGTTCATATAAAGACATAGGTAATTACTGTTTACTGTTGCTCATTAAGTTCTGCCCCTGGATGTCATTGTTAGGTCTTCAGTATTGACAAACCTGACAGCAAAATTTGATTTGATTGCTGTATTTTTATTTTCTGTCCCACATGTTTAACATTCATTCATGACTGATTTCTGAGTATGAGGGGTGTTTTCAAGGGCAACCTTCTCCTAAGTCTGCTTGAGTTTACTAAGTTTTTGTTGAGTTGTTCCATTCTGTGCCATCATCTGAGTCGCTGCTATTTATCAAAAGGTATTAGTGTTCCATGCTTCCACAGCCTGACGACTGTGAGGTGTTAAGGTAGATGTTTAGAAATATAACATGGAATCAGTTTTGAGCTGCCTAAAACAGGGGTGGACAATCTTATCCGCAAAGGGCCGCTGTGTATGCGGGTTTTCGCTGCAATTCCCTAATTAGATAACTAATTAGAGGACTGATTAGCTGAAAGAGTCCTCAGAACTGGGTTTGAACAGCTGACCTACAGGTTATCCCAAAAACCTGCACACACACTGGCCCTTTGCGGATAAGATTGGCCCCCCCTGGCCTAAAACCAGTGCATAGGGGGAGAGCACAGACTGGAAGATCTGAGGTTTAGCTGGTAATCCAGTGCACTTGCAGATGATCATGTCCGTCGCCATTTGATATTCCATGGGCATCAACATTTTATCGGATTTCTGATTGTAAATCTTGTTTAAACTAAATTAAGTTTTCCCCTAGGAAAAGGGAATATAAATAACTGTAAAATATGTAAATAATTGATTAAATATGAATGGTAGAAGTTTATCTGCACACTTAAAAGGCAGCGCCAGACATGAAATGCAAATCCTTTCGCCTAATCACGTGTGTGAGGAATTGATATTGAAATTTAGATTGTCATGATTTTGTTGTTGTCCCCTCCAAAAAAAAAAAAAAACAGGGAGAGCCGATCACCTTCTGTGAAGAAAGCTTTGTGGCACATCGCTCCAGCACTATGAGATGCTTCCTCGAAATGGCCGTCAACCTCCAGCTTTTCAAACAGGTATGCGTGTATGTAATATATATTTACATGTAGAGAATAACTATTTGTTGTGTGTCAAGGAAATTCATAGCTGTATGTTTACTTTTATCTCTTGCTGGATTTTCTCACAGTGCTTCATGTTTATATTTGTGTACTGGTAGTGTGAGGAGTAACACGAAAAATGATTAAAAATAACATCGACAGCTATCTGCATAATGTAATGCTCACATTCTGGACTTCTACTTGATATGTTTGCTAAAGGCTTTGAGGGGGGTCTAGTGTGTAATGGCTTTGATGGAGCTATAGTCAGCCAATTATTTCCTGTAATATCATTTAGTTCTAGACTCATCTTCGGAAATGTACTATCAGTGGGAACTGTCACTGATTGTGGATGCAAGCTGTCAATGCGTCTTGGCAGGCTGACGCTTTGAGAAACTCTTCCTCCAGTAAAGCGTGTAGCCTTAAACCGGATGTACACCAGATGCGCCTTTGTGCCGGGGAATGAATTCTGCAGTTTATAAAGCTGTGCTTTGACACTCAGCACATGCGTAACCTTCCCGGAGAAGATAGTGACCGGCAGTTCAAAGACATCCCTCTTCTCCCCCTTTTCTGCAGTAGCTCGGGGTTCCTTTATCATTGCTGCCTCCTCTTTTTTCCTTCTTTATAAGAGAGAAACATGGCCGCTGGTTACCATAGACCGATCTGACCATGAACTCTTTAGAAGCAGTCCTGCCCAGAATAGACATGCCAGTAGCAGTCTGCTTTCTTTGCCCCCCCCCCCAATTTCACCTTTGCTCACATTGTCAGGAACCATCTTTCGGCATGGCGGTTGGTTATAGATGCTGAACCAATCGAAGCCACGGTTTCACCATTGCTTCCCTTGAACACACGGTTCTGGTCATCACCAGCCTGACGTTTCAGCTTTTTTTTACGTTATATTTTGTAACCTCTTATTCTGATTTTCTTGCATAAAATAATCAAGCACATATTTGTAAATCCAAAGAAACACATGAAACCTTACTGTGTAGTTACATCCTGAGTGGCCTGGCCACTCTGCTCATCCAAAGGGATCATTTGTAATGTCTGTTAAACAGCTAGCTCTACCAACTATTGTTGCTTTATTTCATTGCCTGTTTAGGATTTCAGTCTGCGATATGCACGTTTTCCTGCTCATTTTTTTATTTGTGTGTGTTCTTTGTCCTTTAAAGCGCAGTTGACCTTGGACTGTGCCATGTGGTTTCTGTATCTCTCAAATTCTGCCGTTTCAGTAGCCTGCAGACACACGGTAATCGCTGGCACTGGCAACTGTAAAACAAGTGACTGTTATTCCAAGAGAAACGTGCCATATAGTCCGTTTGACTTCCTCTTCACTATTTTTTTTCCCGTCCATCAATAATGTCTTTCAGCTTAGTAAATGTTTCAGTGAGGGACCCTGCAGTGGCTTGTTCCTGGTTATACTGGCCCACTCTATATTAACCTTAAATTTATCAGTCCCAGGTTTAACCCTGTGACTTGCAGCAGAACAAATCATTCTTAATATTATTGTAATACCCAGCAACCAATCAGAAAGGGTTTCTTTTATTGCCGTGGTAAGGCTTCATTTCAATTAAAGTGTCTTATTAAAAGTTAACGGGTCAATGAGTGTGTAATAATCCATGTGCAAGTCTACATTTTAAAGGGGAAAATGCTCTGCGGTAACATCTTGTTTATTTCATGGGGTTTTGTCAGCTCTCCATAGCACAGGAGGACATGAGACCTCAGAATGCATGGCGGGCTGTCTGGAAACGATGTCCTTAATCTGGCAGCCGTTGTGAATTTTGATGTCTGTATGTATGTGTCTGTGTGGGACCCCCTCAGTGTGTGTTGTGCAGGTAGAATGAAAAGTCCTCCTCCCAATAACATTGGTCTTCATTTTGTTTCACGGCTGCAGTTCATCGATGGCAGGCTGGCGAAACTGAACGCAGGACGAGGCTTTACGGATATCTTTGAGGAGGAGATCACGGACGGGGGGTTCTGTGGATGTGAGTGACCACATTTATGCTGCTTTGAAACACACAAGCTTGGATTTTTTCCTTTACCCCTTAGTATCTCATTGCCTTTTTTTCCCTCTAAGAACTCGTTCTTTCCAAAGTCCAGTATTTCCATGATTTTCACCAATTAAGGATTTGCTCTGCACACTGCAATGTGATGACAGGGTAGTAACATGGCTGCAAAATCAGAATCTTTTTTTTTTTTTTATCAGAATTTTTTTTTCTTTGCCAAGTACAGATAAGTACAAGGAATTTCTTTTGGTGCGGGTGGTGTCATGACATAAGCCAATTAAACATACAACTAAACATTTACAAAAGATACAAGGACAAATAAGTATAATAAGGTGAAAGATAATAATTACTACTAATTACTACTTTGAACGTAATATTAACAGTAGTACTGCATTTTATAGATACTCGTTCCATTCAATTAGATGAAACTGCATTATCAAATTCCTGGATGGCTTTTGGTGTCCTGTTCACAGACATTCTCACATTTTGTGTAACAATATTTTGTATCGCAATATTTAATTGCATTAATTGCATTATAGCTAATTCAAGATCGTATCAGCAATGGATGCAAACAGTGAAGGTAAGCAATCTGGTCTTGGTAAATGTTGTATGTTTTATACATTAGGTAAATTTTTGAATTAAGTATTAATATTATATGCATGTATTTAATTGTTGATTAATATTAGCTTGGTACCCTTCCTGATGCATAGTATTGTATAGTAATGTGATACATTTTGACATGAATACTCTGTTTATTGTCTGATACACATTGTAAATACATTGTATCACATATATTGTAATGTGCTTCAACAATTGATTTGGTCTTTTATGGCCACAGACATAAATATGCACATACTCCTGACAGGCAGGTGGGTCTTCTGTTGAAACAAAAGCATAATCCCTCGATTAATGGTTAAACAGCGAGGGCACACTTGGGTCTCTAGCTTCTCACTCACAGGTTCCCTTCCCGTGGTAAAACAGAAGTGTGTAAGAAAGTGTTTTCAGTAAGAGGTGTTGCTGGGGTGAGAACATGGGGAGGAAGTCTGGCTTTGTTTCCAATATATTTGAAAGAGAAATCCTCGGGTCTGATTGTGCTTTACAAACTTTGGCTGGTGTTACCTTGTAATAGCTAATGTAAGATTATTTTTCCTCACATACAATGTCATTTTTTTTGTCCCTTAGAAAGGGGGTGCTCTCATAAACACTGCTGTCACAAAGGCCAGTCCAGCTGTAAAAACTGTTTACCGATACGTAAGTGCCTCTGCTAGTCTCTGCCACACCAGCCTGGGTTCTGTTGTTTTGTCGACATAGCTAATTGTATTTCCTTTTCATTGGAACAAAGGCCAAGAGCCACGCCAAGCAAGGAATAAAAGAAATGAAGAGCAGGCTGAAACAAAGGGTGAGTCATTTAGATCAGACCGTTTTTGGGCTGAACTGGGTACCAGGGCGCCTACATAGAATCTTACACCTTGCATAGTGAAGCAATCAGGCTTTCAAATTTGGAGTATGCGTAATGCTGTTTTGTCTGAATGTAGGCCCCTGGCTCTAGTCTGTCATGTCGTCCTGACCCTGCAAGGCCTTTTATTGTTTGCATATTTTATCAGTGAGCTGTCAGTTCTTTCAAAGCTTAGGTTTTCTTAAAGGGCTGAACCATTCGATAAGGCAACTGCAGCTCGAACTGTCAAGTGAAAGGGTTGCCTTTCACATTTAATGGCACTTTAATGCAAGATCTTAGAAGTTTGTTTTATGGAATAAAAAACTTGCTGTCTGGATTCACTGTAAATACAAAGCACCCTTTTTTTTGTAAGTGGTAACTGCAGGTTTTATCACTGTTTTTTTTTTTTTACATGTAGGTTAGAGAAATTATACAAACATTTGATACATTAGATCACTGTCTTAAACTAATATTCCCTGTTATTCCCTCTAATATCCTCCTGAGACCCGAGGAAAAAAGTGTCCTTCAATTTTAGGGTTATTTGTCTTTGGAGGAAATAAGACATCTTACAATTTACATTTTTTCAAATTTATTTTTATTTTGAATTTCACAGCATGTCCTCTTTAGTGTACAACAGGAATAAATACATTTCCATACATAAGTGAAAAGATAGATGCAAAAATAAAATGTAGATTTGAGTTGTTGGCATAATTTATCATTATCAGTCATGTGATCCGTAATTATTAGTGAAACAATTTGGTCATCATAATCAGAAAAACTCAAAACCACCTGTCATATTTTGTGTTTTCCACATGTGAATATTAGAATATCAAGATAAATATGGATATTGTGAACTTCTCTGACAATAATTTGGTATAATTTTTATGGCATATCACCCAGTCCTACTGTGAATGATGTTAACCTTGGAAATGATCTAGAGGCGAGGTTCATGCTGATGAAGGGCCTCACCTCTAACCTTTAAATTCTCTGTTTGTGCAGGATGAAGAAGAGGGTACTGTGTGTGCAGGCTCTCCCACCAGCACAAGGAGCCTCTCGCCCAAGAGGCTGCAGAAGCGGAGTAAGGTGAGCTTACAAAGAACTGAAGATAAAAGGATGAAGAGAAGATGCGTATGTCACGAGAAGTTTTAGGGGAAACAAGTTGTCTGCTGAAAAAGCAGCTGGAGCTTAACAGCAGTTAAATCCTTCCTGGGGACGCGGCCTGACTGACAGCTCCTGCTGAGGCGGCTGTCTGACCACCCGGCCTGATGTAGGTTGGCCTATCAGGCACTTAATACGGATGGCTGGGGTCCGTGCTTTCCAGAGCCATGATGGATGTTCAGTGATGGCGTTTCACATGACAGACAGGTCGTCTCTTCCTGACAGACAGTCTTGCTGCTAGTGCTTTAACTGCTGTTTTCATGTGTTTTACCAGTTACAATATTTTGACTCTTGGCATCAAGACTTAAGTCCCCGAGTTTACAAAGTGGAAATTCAGTTCGTTTTTGACTACATAGCACTCAACCCTAGAACATTGCCCACAAAGTGTGACAGAAACATGGAAGCAGGTGCGATGACGTTAAAATCCGGTAAACTGGATAGTATGAGATCACGGCTTCCTGGTTGTCTTATCACGGGTGTGATGTTAGAAGCTGAAGCCAGCTGCGGGTCAACGGTGTTTCCTGGCGAAGCCGGGTTGAATTGCACCTGTAAACTGGCCATGTCCTGTGTAGCTGCTCCAGGCCGGCCAGGGTAGCTTTGTCTGTCAGCCATGCTCTGGTGGTAATGGGCTGATCCCTTGGTCCTGCCCGATGTCGCAGTTCTTCTCTGGCAATTTTCTCGATGTCACGCCCCTCCCCACAAAAGGTGCTGTGGTGTGACCATGCACTAGGGAATGGACCCCTCCACCCCCCCACCCCCCATCTCCATAAATAATTCCAATTCTCAGCTCACGCGAACATCGACGCAGCCTGAAAACGTGGGGTGTCTTGTTGGAATTGTTTTCTCTTCACCTTTGTTGTCGAGGGGGCCGCTGTTTGTGGATGTAGGTATTGGTGTGTTTGGACATTTGTATTTTCACAATACTACATTTGTGCATTTTGGAATAGGCTGGTTCTGTTATGCTGAGACAGAAGAAAACCGTAATGTAGACACAAATAAAGAATCTCCACAGGAGCATTACACATTGGCAGATATATTTTGGGCAGTAGGATAGACTTGACTGAAAATATGTCTGTTCCTTAGTGGGATCTGTCTGGAGCTTTACTTGTATCAAAGACAGTAGTTATAAAACCAGCTGTTCGGGTAGAATCAAATTCAGGAATATGGCCCAAATGTCCAGGTATACCAGGAATATAGTTGCAACTAAAGGAGATTGTCAGCACAACACTCAGTAGAGTGTGTGGCATAGAAGATGTACTGTATGATAATGACATATTTAAAGCAGTGTTCCATATTTTATTGGAAGTATTCAAATTAACAGATGCATTGTCCTTAGGATTTAATAGGCAACAGAAAACAGATCAGTGGATCTCAATAACCTCTTCCGGAACCACTCTAGTTGGCTATTTGCGAACAAAATAACACCACTAGCTGGCTAAAAGGCTTGTAATATGTGTCTCTTTGGACGACTGCATTAATTATGGATGAATAAAGGCTCTCGATCAGAGGTGATGTTTGCAGGGCAGTCTTTGCTTGGCGTGTGGGGATTGCAGGGAGGAGTCTTGTTTGTGCGTTTCCTCCAATTGTAGCCTTCAATTGTATCATAGTGAATTACTGGACTTGTCTCTTAGCATCAAAGCATAGGAAATATTCCCCAGGCTATTTTGCTGTGCTATATACAGTATTACAGCAGAAATTGTAGTTTTACTGAATTAGTATTTAGTTCTCATTATTTTATTTCACCATTGTAGCGGAGTGAGCCCTAAGTGTAGCCGTTCCTTTGTTACGTGTGTGCCTTCCCTGGCCTGGGTTGCTCTCCCTCTGGATACATGACCAATTCCCCCCCCGCCCCCACCCCCGCCGTTCTTGCTGCCCTGATGTAGAAGTTTTCCCTCTTAATTAGTCCCGTTATTGCCTGTGTTGTTGATGGCGCTTAAATAAATGCCAAAAAAAAAGCGTAGCTGCAAAGGTCTTCCAATTAGGCTTTTCAGAGGGGTGACCTGAGCCCTCCTCACTTATGCTGTGCTGCGGCAGATCGCGGCCAAACGTAGCGGTAACGGGGCCCTGGGGATTCCGGCCGGAGAGCGTCTCCCATCCCCGGCTCCCAGGGCCCCGTTTCTGTGTACATGGTGCGTTAGGTGTGTTTCCTGGCGATGGCAGAACCCCACTTGGATCGAAATTGCCTGAATGAGTCACCTTTGTTATTTGTCTTGCAGCAGCAAACCTGATAGACCCAACAGGCATCTGGAATTTAAAAGACAGAGAGATTGCCTTCAGATGTAACCCCCCCCCACCCCAACTGAATATAAATACAAGCAGGTTTTTGTAGCATTGTGAAGATTCCCTTTCAATATATTATTGGCTGAACATCACTTTTTATTATACAGTACTTTGCTTAATTTTGCATACTCTGTGAGGCCTAGGTTTCCAATAAAAAGCCATGTTGACATTTTTCAGATGTGCATCATCTGTAAAAAAAAAAAAAAAAAAAAAATCAGTCGTGCTTTTAAATATTGTAGCATTTGATCCTGCAAAATATGCTCAGATTATATTATAATTGCAAAATGCATTCTTATTGCCAAGTTCTGAGGTAAGACCTTAATTATGAAAATAATTTATTTTATTTTATTTTTTTTGGTGTCCCTCCCCCAGAACTGGCAGTAGTGTTTGAATCACCGGGGCCTTTTCTTGAAGAGAGAGCCGTCTAAATTTGAATCCTGTTAATGAAATTATCCCAGTGGGCTCCTTTTAGTCCCACACCACCCGTGGGGAACGGCAATATGTGAGCCCGAGCGGGACGGCCGCAGTGGGCCACTCCAGCTTCACGGAGGCACTGTCTGAAAACAACAGATGGATCGCCCTGAGCCAGGGCCCGCACACCCGCTCTGCATATTAAAGCCCTTAAGCTCGCTCGGCTCACTATAATTCCTACAAATTCCGTGTCCTGCCCCGAGTACAAAGCATCGTCCGGCACCAGGAAACAAAAAGCGTACGTTTGCTGTTCATTCACCATTTGTTTGCTGTATGCCGCTTGTTTGGCCTCATATTTCGTCTGTTTTTGCCAACTTGTGTAGTGTTACCATTTAGTACCTGAGGTGTAAAGCTAAGGACCAACTATCCTGTAAATTGTTCTTGTGTTTGTGAATATCCATCATTTAACACAAGATATATCTGGAGTAAGAAAATATTTTACATTAAAAGTAGTTTGTAGTGTCATTGATTGGACAAAGAGGAATGGTTGTGTGCATCTGCATATACATATAATGTGCTTAACATGCATATGTAGTTCCATTCCAGCAATGGACTGTCTTGTTCCCTGTGCTTTCTGGCAGAGGGTTTGGATTCACTCACAAGAGCGGTTATGCAAAATGGATGGATGGGGTGTAAAATCATTACTTAACAGCTTGTTATCAGTCTTCATATTTAAGAAAATAAATAAGTTCCCTCTAGTCTCCCGTTACCTTTGAATCGGCAAGATGTATATGCAACAGTACAGGTCCGTGAGCAAAGCTTTAGTTCCTTCTTAATACTTAAGGAATTCTAGATTGGGAGCTTGTGGTGTAAAGGCCATTTTTTATTGCTGAACAGCATTCCCATGTTATTAGCTGCGTTTTAGTCACGGGAGGTGTTCGGTAGTGACGCAGCACTGCGCGGAAGAACTGGGGTGGGTTCAGGCTGACTGTTGTGACACAAAATAGACCTGGGAGGACTGTCACTGCAGCGATGAGTCAGCTGGGTGACAGGAAGCTGTGACGCTGGCACACAAATGAAGATCTGAACTGTGTTTAATGCCCTCTGGTGCCAGTGCTCCAAGAATGTTGTCTGAGATGTTTCCTGAAGCTGCACACTTGCGAGGCAGTGATGATCTGTGTAACACGTCTGTTTGCCGCACGGATTTAGGTGGCTGTTTATCGTTTTTGATTTGGCGGGTGCTTTAAGAACAACTCTGGATTTGTGTCAACACTGCCCTCTGCAGGCAGTCGTAATTTACTACACCATGCTGGTCCCCTTGTTGTTGTTGTTGTTAACTCTGAGTCTTTTCCCAAAGTAACTGAAAAATCATACCGCTTGCAGAACTGACTGCTTTATGGATGTGTCTTGAACTTGAACCAGCTACTGTCAGGCTGCGATTTGGGTGAAATGCTATGGCACCTGCTTCCCCTAGTCTTCTAGGTTAGTTGTGGGTTGGTTGGTTTGCTGATCCAGCTGAATGCTCAGATCAGCATTGCATCTTTACTAAGACCTATTTTTTCTGTGTATTTTTATTTTGCTATATATCATATCAAAGTTTTGTTTTCCTTAAGAAAACTAGCCAAATGGGAGCTGTCTTTAATATTTGTGTATTTTATTGTAAAGCTAAAATTATGGCCAGAATCAATCAATATCTCTGGCTTAGATCTTCTTAATTATACTGTCAGTCTTGCATTTTGAGTTTTTTTTTTCTACATTTTTTAGTACCTTGGACTCATTTCCTGTCACTTTTCCGTTTTCACCATTCATCATTAAATTAATCCTAGCATGAAAGAGGGGCCCCCATTCACTTCAGCTGACTGTATTTTTACACCGTGCCGTCGCCAGTTACTCCAGAGCGTTTAATAAAGATTTAATGAGAACAGCATCCTCAGACTGGCATAACCGTTAATGTTATGTGCTAGTAAAAATCAGATGGGGCGGCAAAGGCAGAAGACGACAGCGGAGAGGAATTTCTGATGAGATTAAGCCGTCTTACTCTCAGCCTCGTACTGTACAGTGTGTTGTTGTTAATAAGCTTGTCATCTCATTAAATAATATTTAAGTAATTAGAACCAACAATACGCTCTGATCCCTATATACAATTAAATTATATTATTCAGTAGAATTACCTTTAGAATAAAATAAAGAATATTACACATTAATGAAAAAAATGCTTTTGAAACTGTAATGGATTTCTATATATTTCTGAGAATGTATCGGGACTTTATACTGCTTATGACAAACAACACACTGCAGCTGTATGAGTAATCCTCTACATTGTGGCATGATGCTTTGAGCAATATGGTTTACAGTTACATTAATGAAACGTACATGGGGGGCTTCTTATAATAACCAGCCCTATGCCGTCTCTTTTGTGTCCCAGGCCAGAAGTTAAGAGCGTAAATGCCTACAAACGGAGCGCCATTAGGGTCGCGAAAGACCTCTGGCTAATTGAAGCCGACAGCTTTTCGCAGGTGCACTTCCAGCGTCTGCTTGGAACCGAGAGTTATGGTCCTGACACAGGAATCCATTAAAACGATTCTGGGGTCTGGAGTCTAAAGCCCCCCGTAATCACTTTTCATTATAGCTTCCAGCTACTGCCAATGAGTTTGGAACATGTGTTATTGTTTACGTGAGTGGCGAGAGCCGTGAGTGCCCTGTGCACACGTCCCCCAGCTATTTTAATGGGGGGGGGGGGCACCGTTAACCCTTCACACGAGGCACACTCCGCGCATGCCGCAGTCCGTCTTCGCTGTTCGTTACTGCGGCCGCCACTCATGGGGCAGGATCTTAATCACGGCCGTGTTTGGGTGTCGGCTGACCGGCGTGGCGTTTACCCCTTGGCGTCGCTCATAATGGGGGCCCCCCCCAGATCAGGTGGTGGAAACGGCCCACATTTGGTGATGGCTTTTGACAGTGCGCTGAATTGCGGTTTGTCGGCAGGTTTAGTGGCTGCTCTAACTCGGGTGTGTTGGTGATGTTTGTTGTTTGGTGGGTATGTTTGTATGGTGGGGTATGAATTACAAGCAGACTTCTCATGTCTGTGTCTTGTGCTGCACTCTACCTGTTGTGTTTAAGTAACTGGGCCAGAGATGTGGAATTTTAATTTTCTTTATGATAAATATGGATGTCTACATTTTCTAAGGATCTATTATTGTTGTTCATATATTTAAAATGGCAGATTCACTTTTTTAAGACGCACTTTTTTTCTCCTCCCTATTTCGATTCCCAGCATTACTCAAAGTTCCCCATGGGCTGTTCCGAATTCGCCCTAGATGACGATGAACTGGACACGGCCAGCAAGTAAGTGTCTCTCGCAGCCCCACGAGAGTGCAGTCGCGAAGCTTGCCTTTACCTCCTCTAAACAGTTTTACCAGCTGGGTCTCTTATGCTTCAAGGCTGGATTAAAACCTCACGTGTGAGGCTCCGTCCAAGCTTTCACAACTTGCAGTGTGAAGGTGCATTATGACATGAATGTGTCTGCGTTATTTATATGCTGTAAGGTTTTTACTCCACAGATAATGTTTGACAAACCTAGATTAGAATCCACATTCTTATTTTAATATGCCTCTAAAAATCACAATCTGTTTGACTTAATTGACGTTAAATTTCAGGGTCATAATTATGCAATTTCGCAGTTGACGTGTAAAGTACAGTCAGCTCAAGTATTCCGCTTTGTATTCTGTTGGACTGCAGCAGTACATTTTTAACCTCAGTGTATGATCTCATATCCAGTGCCTTGTAAACTGACAAATTAAATCAGTTTTGGTTTGTTAAAGTATCCTCTAGGGGTTGTAAATTCATTCAATACAAACTTTTAATCCTTATAGTTTCCTTTGTCATCTATAAAAAATCTTAACTAATGTCGCCATCTAGTGGCCTGTTCCCTTGTATTCAGTAACAGATACAGATACAGATGCAGATACCGGCTGGATTTGGAGTACGGTAGCATCATGTGTTACTTTGCTTGTAATTACTGTGCAAGTGAATTATCAAATGCATGAGCGGCCATGGAGTTCTGTATGCGTGATGTTCCCTAGGATCTCCTCTGAGGATAGTGCAGACGTTCCTTCGCAGGACAGTGACGACTCGTACGAGGTCCGCTCCGACTTGCAGGATACCGGTCAGATGAACTTGCTGGAAGAGATCCTGGACACCCTGAGCAACACCAGCCTTGACCAGGGCAGGCTTTCTGGAGCCAAGAGTCTGGATTTCTTCCGGTCTATGGATGACCTTGACTACAAGGCGCCGGTGAGCCGTTTTCCTCCTTTCAAATAGCATTAAATGCTAAAAATACACAAGTTTTAAATACACAAGTAAAATTTGACAAGTCGTACGTTTATTATGCTTTATTGTGCTTACTGCACAATTCAGTAATTATGACGTGGTATTTATTAAATATACATTTTTGTTACTGTGATACTTATAAATGATTGATAGAGTAAACTTCAGGGGTAAATTTGTGTGAGTGCATGCATCCAGATTAAACTAAGCTTTTTATTTTTTGGTTCAGAACAAGTCCAACCCCCCCAGTGAGGGTAACCTGGCTCAGCTCTGTCCCAGTAGTGGTGAACGAGAGAGCTGGAACCTGGGACAGGACGACAGCTCCATCCGCGGGAGGCAGCTGCCCCCTTCTCCTCGAAGGCATACCAGTGCGGGCGCCAGTTACTTTTGCGACACAATCCTTCCAGTGGACCCCGCGCCTCCGGCCGATGCGGCCAATGAGAATAGCCTCCAGGAGAATCCAACGTCGGATGCCCCAGGCTCCGAGCTTCAGAGGGGGAGCGGGGTCCTCCTGAGGCGGAAGGTGCTCTCCAAGCGGACCCTGAAGCAGTACCAAGATCGTGCGCAGCTGGAGGACGGAGCCCAACCGGCGCCACGACAGCCTTCCATGCTGGTGGCCTGGGAGAATGTAAGCGGGCAGGGTAACACTCCAGCTGAGGCTCTGGACAAGGGCCTGCTGGAGGAGATCCAGGCCGTTTACCAGAATAGCGCACCTCTCAGCACTGGCCCGCACTCCTCTGAGGTCAAGAGTGATGTCTTCCACAAGTCCTGAAAATGTTAGGGGGGGGTGGGGGCTTAGGGTTAGTGTTATTCTTGATCACTTTCTTTGTCCTTTCTATTTAATTAATCGCTTTCGTTTTTTTTGTTAATAACAGATTAAATGTGTGAGCATGCTGGTGCTCGCGCTAATTTCATTTCCTGTCCTTACACTGGCAAAATTTTAATGTCCCTGTTAAATTAGGACTGCAGTCTTTGGTAACACTTGGGGATGATACCTTCCAGCAGAAATGGAAATATTGTTTCGGTTCAAAAGGGTTAAAAAGGGATTTCTGTCATTGACATCGTTATTGTACAGATTAATTTTTTTTCTTTGCCCTTTTAGTTTACGTTGTGTAGTACTTGCACTGTAGGGTACTGTTGTCACTTCAAAGGTACAGATATATCACTGTGTTCATATGAGCAATCAAATGAAGGCTTTTAACACCAGATTATTCATTTAAAGCTTCTGTAACAGCTTCACCAGGCTTTGAGTCTTGCATTAGAACTTGTGTCCCTTTCCTGTGCAGTCGTGTAAAATGCCTTAAATAGATCACTGTCACTTAATATGCAGCAGTTCTGAAACAAAGGAGTAACCAATCACTTAATATTTGAAACTTGTGCATATGTAAAATTTCCATCTCATCCCGTCTGCAGAAAACCTTTTGTAAAGACATTTTTATTGACTAACTGATCATGTTTCTATTTGAAGGTAATTTTAGTGTCTTTCCTCAGGTCATATTCGTGCTTGCACTGTGGGGTGTAGGATTTTCCGCGTAGGTGTGGAAATGCAGATGTGATCCAAACTCACCAAGGATATGGGGCGAGGCAGAGTCCCTTTGTGGGACTCTCCTGTGTCTCAGGAGCGCGGGGGAATGGGTGTGCGGGTCTTTTGGTACGCTGGCTGTAGTCTTGGTTTTGTAGGTTTCTTTCTTTTCTTTTTTTTTTTTGAGTTTTGCAAATGATACACCCCTTATATGGCTTTCCAAGCTGCTGCCTACAGCTAGGAAGCGTTCAAGTGCTTGAATATAACATGATAAGCAATACGTTTAAAATGACTTGGGTGTCTTGCACAGGTAAGGACATGGTCTTGGAAAATGATGATGTTCTCCTATGGAGAGGATGCAACCTAAAGCAGAAGTCGGTGATTGCGGATGTTATGCTGTGAGCTATGTAGCCCACACTGTTCGTGGTTGTCTAAGAGGCTCTCTGTCTAACCTTTTATATTGCATTTAATTTCGAAAGACACTTTAAGAGTAGCTTTTACCATTCTTATGCTGTAGTAATGATCTGGTCGTAAAGCAATAAGTGTGTCATTAATGACTTAATTTGAACTGATTAATCACCAGATGGACTATTTTCCTCAGTTGTTCACTACCTTACTCATCACCACCAGCACCACCAATGAGCGTTAAAATAGTACCGTTGTATCTGTATACTGTCTCGCAAGAAAATGGCTGCATTTTCAAGTAATAAAAATGTAATCTTGTTAAAGGAAACAATGTTTTACCCCCCCCCCCCCCCCAATTAGAATAAGAATAGAAACAAGAATATCGTTATTATATATGATGTTTATGGACATACATGAATTTGTGTGACTAAAGGAACCAAAATGATTATTTAACATCCATCATAAAAGTTAAAATGAGGCAAAATTAAAATGCAGAGTTATCTGTATTACCTTATAAATAAGTAGCTTTGGCATTTTGAAAGTCATTTGGCATAATAACTAATCAAATGTTAAGCATCTCTGTAGGTCACAGGAACGTAAGCCTTTAATTTATTCCAGTGGTACCTGGCTTTGTTTTTATATGTGGCTACACTAATGGGTATTTTTATTATAATAAATGTAGCATTTTTTGACTGTAAGCATTGCAATGCTGGGTAATGTTTGAGTGTTAAAATGTTTTGTACTTGTGAACGATACTGTGTAAAGCATGAATACTGTAAAGTGTTGAGTTCAAGGCTGAGAGGTGTGCCTTACATACATGCTTTTCTTGACCAATAGCAAGTGTTTGCCAATCAGTTCCCCAGTGATAATCTGCCAGAAGAATTTGTGTAAACACAAAAAAGTATTAACTAAAATGTTTTATTGCGCTTTCGACTCTGTGTCGGTGTTCTTAAAGGCAGTAATTTCAGTGTTTTATGGTTTTTTTTTCTTCTTTTTAAAAATTGATCTGCCTGAATATATTCTGATGGCATATTCCTGATGCTGCTTTTAAGAAATTCAAAATATAAGACATCAAAGACAGAATAACACACATTGAAAATGCCAACTGAAAGTTTAAGTTTTTGTTTTTTTGGTAAACCGATTAAATTAACCATTACCCATAAAGCAAAGTAACACTATAAAGGAGTCGTGTTACATATAGTCTACCTAAAACAAAAATGTAGAGCAAAATAACGCCTAGTTTTCTCTTAAGTATTTTTTTCCGCCTTTGTGGTATTTCCAGCATTACACAAGGGGGGAATCCCATGATGATGTAAAAGCAGTTAATTTTATTTGTTTTTACCCCATGTCCATATCATTAGCAGTCACTGTTTACATTGCAAGTTAACCAGGTTGTCATGTACGTATTTTATATATATATATTTTCCTGTCAAAAAAATGCAACGATACATGTCCTGCTCTTTTTGCTATATTGATATATGTTTAAACCAATCAATAAATTTGAATGCCTATAATTAATGTCCACATTATACTTTAATAGTTGATAACGGTGTTTTTTTAAGTATCTTAATGCAGCATCTACTCGTATAGTGTATGATTTTTTTTTGTTGACATGTTCATCGTACCATCATTTGTATATTTCCATGTTCATTTCATTTGCTTGAACTCTGGTTTGGTTGCTGTAAATCCTCGTATTTACAGAAATAACACATGGCCCTCTAGGGTGGAGGGACAGGCTAAGATGTTTAAAGGGTGAGTGAAGCAATTTTATTACTGACGTTGCAAGATCCTCATTTCTCAGTATGTTTCCATAACAGGCTTATATTTGCCAGTAAACATTCCCTCAAATGATTGGTTCCTCATTAAAACTTAAAGCAGCAGCAGCAGCAGAAAACTCAGACAATTTGGGCTTCGTAATTCACCAGGAACATTTTACTACTTATAAAAATGAATTTAACTTCTGGGATGGTACATTATGCATTGTGGACAGGGATTGTTCTCTCTGCGTTATATTCCAAGTGCTGTACAGAACATTGGTGATATTGTGTGATGCTCACTAGACTGTTTTTTCATTTTTTTTTGCCATTTTATAAGTTAATTTAAATTTTTATTTAAAATTTTGACTTTAACAAGAGGTTGCATTAATCATTGAGCACTGTGGTACGGATGTTGAATCAAAACCACTGTGAATTTTAATTGTATATGCTGACCATATTGCCTAATGGTTCTTAGTCATGTGTACACATCCATAAGATGCAAGGTTCATTCCATAAAAATTGACAGTACCGGCAGATTACAATTTTTGTCTATACTGTGAGTGTACATACACACACACATATATATAAATAACAATTCATCCATCAAAAGCCAGCATTCCAAAGGCTGTTCTGTTCCTCTTAATTACTGCATAACTTGGTTCACACTTGCATGTCCTCCAGAAATAACTCTGGTAATACAACCTGACAATACATAGTGTTGTTGAGCAAATAGAACAACTGAATATGTGGTAGCTACTCACTGTGAGAAAATAAAAACAAAATATGGATGTTTATTCAATTTTTGTTGGTTTGTTTTCCCTCCTCACCAACAGTCATTCTGGACTACAGACTAAAATACAAATGACTAGTTACTACAGAGCAAAATGGCAAAATAAATATAATCAGTGGTTGGGTTTAGTAACTGCTCTGCTAAGCTTTAGAACAGCTAGGATGCTCCAGCTGAGAGATTTTGAATGTGGTGCATTCGTTGATGCCAGACGTGTTGGTTCTGCTTTTGAATATATGGCCACCTGCATTCAGCTATCCTGATTTAATCGTATTTAGTTGATTTTAATACCTTGAGTAGGAAATGCAGATCTAAACGTTTTTCCAGGAAGTTTACATAACTTTCTTTTGTAAGCAGGTGACATTTGGGCGGCTTTTATAAGCTCCTTGCAGATCTGTGAAACTGAGAATGCATCATTGAACAATTAAAATGGCTCTTATCAGGAATCTTTGAATCTTGTCTGCGATATGAAGTTCCAAAAGAATAAGAAAGTGTGGGTTGGTGGCAAAGTGCATTAAAAGGCACTAAGAGTAAATCAGGAGAATGAGATATCAGATATTTATAATTTACAAATATACAAAAATATCTAAATATAACTAATTCGCTAAAACTATTTTGTTTTTCTAGTACATCATAAATTAAACCACAGAGAACAATATCACACAATTTAACACAATCCCTTTTAAGTAGTAACAGATAAAGTATTACATTATACCCAAGTGCAACGTACCATCAGTAATGATATTTTGACCCATTAAACAAATACAAAGACTGCACTTATCCAAGACTGGTGTCTAGTATCCTTGCCAGTTTGTCCAGATGCATCTCAGCCATTTGTCTGTGGTGTAGTTCCTGGGTAAAAGATCCGGGTCGTTTGCCATTTTGTTGTAGATCGCGTCCGCATCCTGGCTGCGTATTCCCTTTTGGCGGTTCCGGCGGCTTCTGAACGTCCTGAGAGCTTGCCGGCCATACTGAGGAACAGACGCTCACTTTGATGCATCTGCCCGGCAGGCCGTACCATCTTGCGGGTGGCGGGGGTGGGTGCCTTTTAAATGAGTCTCTCCATGGGTGGAGGCTGTACCATGTTCCACATCTCTACCCTGGAGCCCTCCTTCTCCTGCCTGCTGGGGCTGTAGGCGCCATGGGACGCCCTTCGCTTCACAACCACAGCGAGGGCAGCAAAAGTCAGGAAAATGGCGAGGAGCAGTGCCACCAAGACCAGGCAGGCAGACAGCAGGAGCTGGGACGTCAGACCATCGCCGTTTAGCTGAAAGGTGTTGCAAATCAACTCGTGTCAGCACGGTTACGAATGATTTAGCATCTGGTAGCCTCTGAACAGTTATCCATCTTTCTTCTAACCTCTAATCCTGGTCAGGGTCAAATGGCAGCAACATAGTGTTCTGGGTGGAGGAACGCCCTAAACAGTTCATCATGCCAGATTGTCAAAGGGCACATGCATGCTCACACACTATAGACATCAGCCTTACTGCACATTTTTTGAGGTTAAATCCATATGACAGGGAGAACATGCAAATGTCACTTATGGGTCAGAGGTGGGACTCAGAACTCCAGCCCTGGAGGTGTCAGGCAACCAGACCCCCCACTTAACCACCATTACAGTTACTGTTTGTGTTATTTTCATGAATGTGTTATGCATTATGTATAATTTAAATTCAAGTCTACTTTCCAAAGTAGGTTAGCTCTAGTACTCGCGTGGGTCTTTTTCTACTTTAAAGCAGAGTACACCTTTCCGTATTTTTTTTTGGGGGGAGGGGGGATTTGTATATACACACACACACACACGTCTGTTCTAAAATGTTTGTGAAGCCTGTAGCATGGCCTAAAATTGTTGCTTCAAAATGTTCCTTTCATTGAAACAGTAAGACATGTTCGGAAGCGTATTCAGCGGACAGTCAGGCCCCTGTGTCGCTTTGCTCTGCCTCGTTCTCACACGAGGCGTTCCACCTGCGGCGGCTTCCCCGCCCTGCTTCCCGCATCCACTGCAGCTGGCTGTTCCGGACTCCGAGGTCGGAGTGATCCCTCTATCTGACGCTTCTCGCGGATTTTGATGAAGGTAACGACTGTCGCCACTATTATGATTATTACTGCTCCGGTGACACATGACGCAATAATAGCTATTATCGGTGACGTGCTCTGAGAGAGCCGAGGCTGCAGGAAATCACAAACACGAAATTAAACCCCAACAAACATCCCCAAAACAACTAACATTTCAAATCTCTAACGTAGACCTATGCCTCATTTAGGGCAATAATAGTGATATGAACACAATTCTAAATATCATAAAATATACTTGCTCATCACAAAGTAAGACTGATTAATATTATTATGTGTTTGGGCAACAATAATTATATTTAATGCTTTTTCTGTTTTATAGACATTATCATATCATGACTAATGTAATGTAATAAATAATAAATCATAGCAATACATAAAGATTCCTTGCCCATTAATTACTGTAATAATAACATGTCATGTATTGCTCCTAGTGTAGAATATTCAAGGCAATTGTTATCCTTTTATCTTAAATAGGACCAGCATAATTTAAACTGCTCACTTCAGTGTATGGATCCGTGTCCACTGACATTACTTTAATGGTCAATGTCTTACATTGTTTATAAATTCCAAAATGATAAACCCTAACAGTTAACTGGACAATACTTAAAATGTGACTGCATCTCATCTAATCTGAATTTGATTTAATATTCAGCAATTTTTTTAGGAAAAATCATGAAAGTTATTTTGCAATACAATATCATTCAAAAAGGCAAAACTATTGTAATTGCACTTACAATTGTCGTACTGATTTGTGTTGTGTTATTGGCAATCTGAGCTGTTGAGACATTGGTATATTATGATAAGATTAAGTTAACCATGACTTACATTGACAGTTTTTGCCTCTTTATCATTACTAAAAAAAAAAAATATTTAAACATTTATCTTAAAATGCTAATTTTTATATTTCACATTTGATTAAATTAACAAAAGCAGCAGATTGCAACTGAAAAATAATCTATTTCTCAAAATACTCACAATTCAACATAACCAAGCTCTTAAGGAACAGTTTTGCATAATCAGGTTATAATAAAAAGAATGGAGACTTGATTACCTTCTATTAAAGGAAAGCAGCTTTGCAAGAGTAAAATAATGTAAATTATCCACAACATGCTGGAGTCAATTTTTCCAGGAATTGAAACACAAGGACACTTGCAGAAACAACAAAGCCCGAAGATAAAAACTGTTCTCTACAAACAATTTAAAGAGCCTCACACTTCAGTTTCTGGATTTCTCTGAGTTAATAACCTTGTCTTGAACTTGTTTGTCCCACGTTCATTTGCCAGAGAGACACCAGCTAGCTATATCGCCCTGCCTTCCCCCGAAGGAAGGTGTGTGCTTAACTTTTGCTGACTAAAAACTTTCAGACTCCATGCAGGAACCATACACACCAGCGAAGGCCACACCACTCAAACCAGCAACCCCCACATTTAACAGTGGGAGATTTTTCCTCCTATTTTCAGAGAAGCCGTACAGATGGAAAACAAATACTTTTAAAATCAAACATGGCATTACAGCCTACTTCCAACTGGATTAATTCTCTTACCATCCTTCCGCCCTTAATTTAATCAACAACACTACCGGCCAAACAAACTCACAAAGTATATCATAATCTCCTCTACTCATCTTTTCACTGTGTTCAAAAAAGGCTAATGTAACAGACCATGTATAAAGAGTTAGTGTAAATTTTTTTGACAGCAGGTTTTATCCTTGCATTAATAAAAAATATTGGACTGACGATGGTTCACCCAGTGGGAAAAACATTCCTGTAGCAGTAGACATAACCGGTACCTTTTTAACACAGTTTATAGTAATAATTATTTTATTCATTTTCCATACCCACGTCTGTTATGCAGGGTTACAGGGAGCCTACCCCAGAAGCAGCGGCTACAGGCAGGGATTAACCCAGGAGGGGTGCAATCCCATAATAATGAAACGGAATCAGTGTGGTAGAGGTGCAATGATACCGGATACCCACGGTTCAATATGTATCGTGGCCCCAAAACCACAATACATATTGAACCATAGGCATCTGGTATTGTTACACCTCTAGCACACTGATTTACCCTTATATTTAGGATACTCTTTATTTATTATCCATAAACCACTTAATCCCAACTGGGGTCACCAGACCCTATCCTGGGAACAATGGGCACAAGCAGGAACCAACCCTGGCCAAGCACCAACATACCACAGGGCACACACACACAGGGTCAATTTAGACTCACCAATTAACCTATCCTGCACACTTTTGGACCGTGGTGAAAACCCACATGAGCACAGGGAACGTGTGCAAACTCCACACAGAAAACCAAACCCAGGACCATCTCACTGTGAGGCAGCAGCACTAACCACTGCACCACCACTGCACCACCACGCCACCCCTTTATGTTTCCAAATAACTGTATATTTAGCTTGGTTGCAACATGTTCACTCAACGTAACGGTACGCAGTATATTATCAAACCGATGGTTCGATACACACACATGAACTGCAGTTTTACGATATGCCTGTCATTTTCCCATACATACTGGAAAAAACTGTTTTTTCCAAAAAATACATCTAGAAAACTTAAAAGTTATTATCAACAGCACTGAACAGTTTAATTAAAAGGTGATTTTCTTTCTTTTTTTTTAATGTATCTTTGTCAGATTTTTTACCATTTCCATGGGTGCAATAACACAGTACCTACCAAACTGTGAGCAGACAGAATCGTTACACCCCTAGAGTGTGATAGTTAAAATGCTAAACTTGCCAGACTAAACCTTGGTAAGGTCATAAATATTAAACATCTTGTTCATGCTTTAGCCCATTTAGTAAAATTATAAGATATGGCCAAGATGTTTTATGGAATCACAGCTGATTCTGAAGACACGTTCTACTGATACATTATTTACTCAGTTACACTTGCTGTGGTGCAGAACGTCCTACACTAGTGAGCTAACCTTCAAAATAACTTTGGGACACGTATCTGAAAATCTGTCAGCATGCGTGTTAGACGAATGAACACGAATACACTTATGCCAGCAAATTAAAATACCCGGTGTGCAAGCAGGGTGTAATGACAGAGCAAAAACAGAAAAGATGGACAGGACTTTATTTTGATGACAAACACAAATGGTACAAAGATGAGGAGTGACGTCTGAGAATTTGGCCAATCAGGATAAGCTCTCACAGGTACGTCATGAGTAACTGATAAACAGACAGCCAGACGGACAAAGAAACAGACCAAAAAAAAGACTGCAATCATGTGTGGGACATGGTGGCTGCACGTTGTGATGACAGTGTCCCTTCGTTCATCCATCATGCAAGTGAATTAACATCTCACTGTAGCTGCCAAGTTAAAGAACTACATGAACTATAAACAGCAAAAACATAATCTGGCTAAAACATATTAATATAAGCTACTTGAAGGTACTTAAATTGATAAATAAGAAATGTAAATTGAATATTAATTAAATTATTTGACATTCATTTCCAAAAAGGAAAGGTTTGCTATTTAAAAAACGTTCTCAAATTTCCTGAAACTGGTTCTGCATGCAAATGCTACCTTTACGATGATATAGGTACATTTTTCCTGCTTTCATTTGAAACCAATTAAACACATTTATCTATGATATATTCCAGGTTCAAAGTATTAATTCAAGTAAGCCCTTTAATAATGATAAAAACAGATACCATACTGTCCTCTCACAAAAACTGCTGACAGCTAATGTTTAATAATGGCCCTAAGTTCAGGTTTTAATGACTAAATTTAACGTTAAATTCCTGTTCCATACATTTTTGTTGCACATATTTTTCCAAATATTAATTTGCAAAAATATATACATAAAATTCAAAAAATCAAATGAAGTGCAAATAATGAAATTTAACACGCACAGCCCTGAAATGCATGAGGGCCTCAGGGTAGCAAAGAAAATTTGTTTTCTATGGTCAGAGGTGGATAGTTGAGATCCAGAAAGTAAAAATCCAGTTCAAGATTTTGTTTCAACCAATCAGTTGAGTACTTTGTGCCTGTGACTCTTTATACTGAACTGGTTGATTGAAACAAAATCTTGGTCTGGATTTTTACTTTCTGGACCTCAACTATCCACCTCTTCCTACGACGGCCATGTACAGCCACTGTGATATTATAGCTGTATATGAACATTAGTGAAATGTCCAACAGTGGCTTTTAACATGTAGATAAAAAGCTATTCATGTGCAAATTGGAGCTTTCCACCTCCCTATCTCCTTCCCATCCCACCTCCCTATCTCCTTCCCATCCCACCTCCCTATCTCCTTCCCATCCCAGTCCCCCCCCTACCTCCCTATCTCCTTCCCATCCCAGTCCCCCCCCTAGAGCCACGTCATCACATAGCTAGGTTTTCTGCACACACATATTTTAATTTCTGATGATTTCACAAGTGTCTGCTGTCCATCTAAATATACACCCTTCCCGATATGCCTTTGACGCACCTCCCTATCTCCTTCCCATCCCAGTCCCCCCCGGAGAGCCACGTCATCACATAGCTAGGTTTTCTGCACACACATATTTTAATTTCTGATGATTTCACAAATGTATCAAGGGCATTCATTTACCTTATTTAACAAAATGTACTCACATTGAGGTGGCTTGGGCTTTCAGAAATTTGATACAAAAACAACCTTTCATGTAAAACACCCGATAGGCACTTTAGTCAGCCTCCTTCTGAAATGAAAACATTTTTGACTAAGTTCTACCATTAGTTTATAAAGCAGACATGTACATTGTTTTCAAACTGCTTGGATAATTTTTTAAATCCTAATAGAAAAAAAAACAAAAGTAAAAAAGCAACAAAGCTGTTTTAATGGATATTATTAATTTGTTTGTTTGTTTATCTATTAATTTATTTACATGAAAAAAATCATGTTTGACACATTTTAAAATGTGATATATCTGAATTGATAAAGGTTATCAGTAATACCTAATGTTCCCATCAGATGCCCCAGTTGCTGCATATTTGATTGCAATTAACTGACATTCCACCTCAAAGGGGTCCCCTTTGTCCCCATTACCTGATGCACGTCACCTGCCTCCCCTACTCCTCCCTACCCTCACTCATGTTCAAGGTTCCTGGTCCAGCCACAGAATCAGGCAGGACAGCAGCTGGAAGAGATGTTGCCACAAAGGCATGAACACATAAAAGCAGATGTCGCTTACATCAATCTGGCACGTCTCCCCAGCGAAGTTGATGGGACAGTTGCAGTAGAACTTGTTGATCATGTTCAAGCAGAACCCTCCGTTCACACAGGGGTGGGATGCGCACTCGTTAATTTCCACCTCACACCTGCCAACAAAAGGGGGGTTTGGGAGCGCAACACACTTGTGTACTGGCTTATATTTAACCCCCTCCCAGCATGATTAGATTCAGGCCTCAAAAATGTCAACAAAGTCTTTATTTCATGTGTTATTTCTTTAGCAGATGCTTTTATTCAAATTGGCACACATTTTTGAGAAGACATGGTGGAAAAAGTCCCTGGAGCAGCTGGGAGTGAAGAGCCTTTGCTCGAAACACTGGAATTACTCTGCTGACACAGGGACTTGAACTGGATACCTTCTGATTCTAGGCACTGCATCCTGCTGACTAAGCCACAATGCCCCCCTTAGGGTGATATCGAATGTTGATTATAATTGTCATAGTGATGGTTACGAGTGACTGTAGAGCCTAGAAGCACCTGTACCCCCAGGGACACATCAGAGAGTGGTCCTTACCGGTCCCCGACGAAGCCCGCCAGGCAGTCGCACATCATCCCGGTCTCTGAGCAGTTCCCACCATTGTAACAGGTGTAGTTCTTCAACTTGTTCCCGCAGATGGACACCGGCAGCCTGGGACGACTGTGAATTCACAGGACGGCGTGGAGCTTTGAACGCTAAGAGAAGCTGTGAGTCTTCTGAGAACGGCCCCCCTTCCGGGGGTATTACTTTGTCAGATTTAAAAGTGACTTTATTACTACGAGGCTGCCTTCTATCCAATGGCTGTTACGTGTTATATCACCTGTTCGTCATTCAGATGTCCCTTCCCTTCAAAGGCGAGTGAAGTGAGGGAATGAAACAGGAGGACAAAAATGTCGGCTTTTTGAAATCTACATTTCAAAACAGTTGTCCTTAATTTCTAAATGGAAGTTTAAAACTTTTTTTTTCAACTTTGCATAACATCCCTGTTTAAGCTGCAGTGCATTTCAAGGTTCCTGGAAAAAACAACCAATGTTTCAATTACAGTATATGCTAGAAATGTACTGAACAGCTACTTTTATTAAGCACACATTGCAGGTACCTGGTGGGAACTACTTTTTTCCACCAGAACCACATCAAAGAGAGACGAGTTGTGTGCACAGGAAAGGTGATCTGTACACTGCTGTTGCACTGAGCTATTGTTTTTTGCATGTGTGGTCTTCCTGTTAGGTTTATCAAATCTGGCTTTAACGAATTCTCCTCTGACCTCGCTCTTTTCAGCCAAGGAGCTACCCCTGACTGGATGTTTTCTGCTGATCACACCATTCTCTGCAAACTCTAGATACTGCAGTATGTGAATATCCGAGAAGGGAGAAGGGTGCCAGAACCACCATGTCTGGTCCCAGCCATCATAGAACGTTTAAAATCGCTTAGATCAGGCGTGATAGCCCTTTTAATGTTTAGCCAAATGGTAACTGAACCTCTTGATCCTGTCTACATGCTCTATATCAGATATAGCTATATTATTTGCAGTTCACAGGAGAAGGCTGTTCACATTAACAAGGATGTATACCTAAGTGACTACTTTAACTCAGAAATATAGAAAAAAAAAATCACAGAAGACTTACTGATTCTGGACTATATGCCAGGGAATCTCTTCAACTGGCTCACTACAGGAGAAACACAGAATATGTTAAAAAAAAAAAAAAAAACCTTTAGAAACACCACTTACTTTCAAGGTAATGCAGTTTATTTTGCGAAAGGCCTGTGATCGCAGTGTGTGACAGCATCAGTATGAAAAACATGTTCACAGGAAACCGCCGTCGATGATCCCTAGATGAGGCTTCAAGACACAATGCAGATCAAGTTATCAGTGTGATTATGAGATGGGTGTGGCAGGCAGACGTCACCAAAGCCACTTCAGGAGGTAAACTATTTGGTAGTGACATTTTGAGAAATTGTACCATTAAATGAAAGCAGATTTTTTTTCACTAATGATGCAACATAAAACATTAAGTTCTTTGTAATCAGTCCCTTTGTTTGTCGTTATTTTGAAGTTAGCTAAAAAATCAACTGAGAAATACTTCTTGGATATTCCTCATGGTCTGTAAAATTAGCCATCCATCTCCCCTAACCTTTTGTCCGGTACATGTTTCTGGACTGTGGGTGGAAGCCGACATAGACACGGGGAGAACATGAGCTGGGTTTGGACTCAAAGTGTATTCGGCAACACTGCTACCTGCTGAGTCACCCTGCCACCCAGAACAAGAAATGCACTAAGCTTAGAACAAAAGTCATTAAGCCAAACCTCTCTGGGCACTGTTGCTGGATTGTGGTAAGACTCACGTGCAATAAGGACCATAGTAGCCATCTGGACAGAGGCAGGAGTACTTCTGGACCCTGTGGAGGCAGGTGGCACCATGCGCACACTTGTTTCCCTCACAGAAGTCCAATTCACCCTCACAGTTGACTCCCGTGTAGCCTGCCTCACACACACATTCATATCCCAGAGTCAGGGTGCTGCAGTTGCCGTGGACACAAGGGCTGGAGAGGCACCAGTCTGTGTTGACTTCACAATGCTTCCCTGTCCAACCAGGGGAGCAAGTACATGCTGAGAGATTAAAGAGGTCTTCACATATGCCCCCGTTCACGCAGGGTGTGGCCTCACAGACACTCTTCCCTGTGCAGCCACTTGATACCGGCTCAGTGGTCGTTTTGATGAACTGTTCTTCCTGGAACCTTGGATGGTTCAGCTCAGAGTCTCCATAGTAGGGCAGCACGATACCACCGATTTCTACTGTACTCAGGCACCCAACCAAGTTCCCGGCTGCATCTGGAACTGATCCCCCCAGAAGAACATCTGCCCTGTCCTTGAGGAAGTCCAGATTCCCAGCACTGTCACCAGAAATGGTGGAGTGGCTTCCTTTGTCTATGACCATGGACCACTGGGAGGTGGGAGACGAAGGAGTCACCATGGAGAGCTCCACTGAGTGCCATTCTCCATCGCTGATCACACGCTGACTCTTCAAACTCAGTGTGAAGGAGCTGTTGCCACTGCGTAGCTCCAGGAAGAGGAAAGAATCTTGGACAAATACAGTGAAAATATCCGGCTCTTTTACTGCATGCAGAATGGTTACGTTGTACTTCCTTGTCCGAATGCTGAAGGAGACATTTGTCAGATTGCGAATAATTTTCCCATTGGTTCTGTAGACCATAAGACTGCTGCCATCCTGAAAGGTCGCATTGGAAATGCCTTTAAAAAAAAGAGAAAACATTATAATCATGAAAACATGTGCTTGTGTGTGTTTTCTGCATGTAGAAGTGCCCTACTAGGGACAGGTATCTGACCCTGGACACTTTCATTCTGAACGTACCAGCGCTTATAGATTATATGTGAATAGGTGTGGAGTGTGTAACTCTCAAGAGAAGGGTGGGAAAAGGGTGGCAGCCTGTTTTGTGGATGTTTTGCTCTGACAAGGTAGAAGAAAAAGCAGACACTTTTATCTAAAGCAATATACAATTGAAAACACAAGCTTAACCAGTCCTTGGAGCAATTTGGGGTTAATGGCTTTGATCAAGGATCTAATGGCCAGACGTCGAACCACAGCATTCGAACCAGCAGCCTTTGTTCACAAGCACAGCATTTTTAACTGCTGAGTCACAGACCAGCAACACATATATAGCACCAAGAAAGAAGTACAGGTGTAGGAGATCGATGCAGATCCATTTGGCCACCCAGCTCTTTCTCTGATGTGGCTGGTGGTCAGTACCTAAGACTAGATCATCTTTTCTGAGGGACACGATTTCAAGTGGTATCAAACAAAGGAGTCATATGTATAACACCTGAAAAGGTAAATTGAAGCCTGTTTTCTCTGACATTTTATGCTTTTCATAGCTTTGCTGTAAAAAGGTAGGGGTGCACTCACAGTCGAAGCCCTCGCCACTGGGCTGACAGACTGCCGTGGGGGGGCACGGTGCCAGCTGGCACCACCGCACACGCTCACAGCTCCTCCCGGTGGCATTTGGTGGGCAGGTGCAGGAGAAGTCGTCCCAAAGGGGATGACACATTCCCCCATTGTGGCAAGGCTTTTTCTGGTCAAGAAAGAAGTGGCCCCGTAACAGTCATCGCGCCCTTGTTAGACAACTTATTACATATAATAATTTCGTAAATTTCCAAAATCAGCCTTGGACAATAAACCTTTTTTAAGGTTGGTATTCTGTCTTACACAATGTCTTGATTTACAATGAAAGGCGCGTTTATCCAAGAATTAATAATTGAATAACAAATTAATAAGTTATGAAGATTATTTTGCTCATTAAATATATTTTATCAGATGCATTTTATTGATCCCAGAGGGAAAGTTTAAAAACATATTTACTTAAAAGATACTTGTGTCCAAACTGACGTACAAAAAGCCTGAGATCAGAGCGCAGGGCCAGCCGTCACCCAGCCGTCACCCAGCACCCCTGGAGCAGTCAAGCCTCACTCAAGGGGCCAACAGGTATTCAATTACTCTTCCAGTCACAGGATTTGGCACCAGCTCTATATAGTACTGTAGTAATGGATGAGCAAGTTTGGCCATTGTTCTTGTGATTGGAAGATCGCCTTTTTAAATCCCAAGGTTGGAAGAGTGATCGGATCACTGTTGGCCCTCTGACTGAGACTTTTAACACCCAGTTGCTTCAGCGACTGTCTTCTAAAGTCTATGTCATTTCTGATAAAAAGTGTCTACTAAGTAAATAAGATGTAAATTTGAACCCATTACCTTCTGGGCACAATCCCCTAACCTACTGGGCCACAGACCACTCCAGGACTGCTGAGGTCTCAGGCTAAATTTTAGAGGACATAGGAAAGATCATGTTCATAATGTCTTACATTGCAGATGTTGTCGCTGGTGCAACCGCGTGTAACATTAACAATGGTGTCTAGAGTATAGGAGCTTATTGGTGTTCCAACTGGATAAAACTGCAGGTGCTTGGAATTTACACGCAAATCCTGAATACAGCCTTTAAAATAACCCCCAAACAAGGAGGAGGCAGGTTGATCCACCAAGCCGCCCAGGTGCACCTTGTCTTTGGGTCGGATTTGTAGGGTTTGTATCGTTGTGGTGATACCATGTTTCTGACCAGACTGAAAGAGGGACATCCGGTCCTCCTCTGTCTCCACAGTCACGAGGTGAAAATTCCCGTCACTCACAAACTGCTCCCCATGGAGCATCTCAAAATCGTTGGCTTGAACCTGTACGAATCCACCGTCCAACCAGATCCTAAGGTACTGGTTAGTGCTGTTTGCGATAACCAATAGCAATCCTGCATGTTTCGTGGTGCCAATGAACATGGAGATGACATTGTTAGGGCCAGGATTGTCGTCGACGGTAAAAACAGCGTAGCTTGGCCAGTTATCATTTCCAAACCTAGCTGGGATGTTTTCTGCAGCAAAAGGAAAAAGACACAGAAAGAAGTTAGGACTGGAAATATTGAGATAACATATTGCAGCTTTGCAGTGCACTGTGCAGTTGTGCATTCACTGCATTGTCCTTCACTGTCAGGTAAACATAATATTCTTTCTGCTTATTCAATGTTATATAATATAAGAAAGATCGTCATGGCTGCATGTGAATCATCACAGTTATACAGGCACCAGCATATACGGCACATTTTCCCGTCAGCATTTCTCCACCGCTATTAACTTGCTGGTTAGATGACCTGCTGAGATACTGGCCAGAGGGAACATATCTGATCAATCAGGAGAAAAGGGACTTTTGAATTCCAGGTAAGTGGCACAGCTTGTGCTTTCTGAGATTATGTGTGGGGCCACACTCACAAAAACTTAGTTAAAAATTTCCATCCATTTTCCAAACCGCTGGTGGCAGCTGCAGCCTCTGACATGCTGTGCAGAACTCTGTGCAGAACTCTGTGCAGACTCTGTGCAGAACTCTGTGCAGACTCTGTATGGGACACTAGTCTATTGCAAGGTGTAAACCTCTACATACAGTATGTGTATGTAGTTCCATTTGTATTACAGTACTTTTATTGCTTTCATTTCCCTTTTTCCTTGTCTACTCTTCCTTGCTCCATGTGAAGTCGGAAAAGTATTTACATATAAAAGTATGTATATAACATAGCAGTAATGATAAGATTTGTATCTTTTGAGGTATAATTAATTATAGCCTAATTATAGAATTCCTTGTTAATTGTGTTAAATAACCACATTCCCGGTAACCAAAAGAAGGATGGACTCAGTCGTCACATTACTGAACATCTAAACTATCCCTTCCATGCTAAAAAATGAGGTCGTATTAACAGCCAGTGACTGCATATGTACTAAAGCAAGTCAAGCTTTTATATTTATAGTATAATGTATAAACAATCAATTCAAAATCATTAGATATAATACACCTTGAAAAAAGCGATGAACCTATTTAGTGGCAGTTCTGTCAGTAAATACATGCTTCTTTGCCAACGTCTTACCCTCTGAACAGTTCTGACCCACGTATGGCCTGTAACACTCGCACTGTCGGTTCTGCCACAGGTTTATGCAGCGGCCTCTAGCCTCACATGGATCGTCTTTGCACATGTGCCTGTCTCTGCATCCAGGGCTCACATTTACTGCCACATCGCCGTCCCGTGTATCAGGAAGTAAGAGCTGAGAGTTCAGACGCACGTCTCGTAGACAGCCAATGAAGTGAGGGGGTGTGGCCTCTGCTGGCCCACTGCTGGTTTCCTCCACTCCAAGCCCTCCGATGAAGGTTCTCTGAAACGCAGAGCTCCGGCCCAGCTGTCTGCTTTGTATATAGACCTCCTCCCCACAATGTTGGTGACACATACCATCGAGCGTCCTCATCTTCAGGGTTTCTCCTCCGAGCGTGACTTCCACAGAGTGCCATTCTAAATCCGCCATGTGGTGAGGCAGCTCTAGGACCCCATTCAGAGAACCGTTTCTCTGCAGTTCCAGGTGTAAATGGCCATTCTCCAGCTTCAGCCTGATTAGAAACTCTCCATCCTCCCACTGAAACAGGACAGCGTTGGCCAGCACCGTCCTGAAACTCAATGTCATGTTAAAGAAGCTCTCAGAGTCACTCGTAGGAGACACCAAGTGAAGGTAGCCACTCCCCTCAAAAGAAAAGGTCGTCGATTTCTGGCACTCTGAGCCGCTGAAGCCACTGGGGCAGATGCAGACGTGCCCGTGCCGATCCTCGCTGAAGAACGGAAAGCACGTGCCTCCACTTAGACACCCATGATCCTCACAGCCAATCAGAGCCTCGGTGCAGTTCAGGCCTCCATACAGGAGTCCATCTTGGCTCTGTTGTAAGCACTGGCATGTGTAACCTCCATGATTGTTTACACATATACCGCCATTTTTGCACGGGTCCTGGTCACATTCATTGATGTCCTCTTCACAAAAAGTACCTATAAAGAAAGATATTGAATATTTTGGACCATGTGACATTTAGCAGAACCTGTTATTGCTCATTAATGCCCACAGTTGTTTGCTGTGTATATTTTGTCCTTCAACCAATCAAACAACACTGAGTACTTAAGACTACACCACACAGCTGACTCACACACCATAAGCCAACGTGACCCAACCCGGTCCTGGGGAACCCACAGACGGTCCACGTTTTTGCTCCCTCTCAGCTCCCTGCCAGACAGTCCACATTTTTGCTCCCTCCCAGCTCCTGGGAGCTCCCGCTCAAAAACGTGGACGGTCCGTGGGTCCCCACGGCCCAGACTGGGAAACGCTGCATTAGGCTGTTACTTCTGTGTCATCTCCTTCCTGACGCTAAATAATCCACATACTGTATCTTGCCAGTAACAAGATTTGGTAACACATTTGCATATCGACCATATGCAGTTTTTTCTCTATGCAACTACAAATCAGCTGAGATTTAAATATTACACTTGTGGAGAGTGCAGACCTGCTTGGGGCATTGTGGAAAGTGCAGGCCTGCTTGCGGCATTGTGGAAAGTGCAGGCCATTCCTCCCCACACAGCGGCATCTACCCTACCCTCCTTATGTCTCAGCTCTAGACTGTGCCCAAGTCAGATATGTAGGATTAGGCTAATACACCTTAACCATCTTACCCAGAGAATGCCTGGAAGGGTCTATTTATATAAGAGAACCTGGAACAACCTCTAAAAAGCCTTACAGACTGTAGCTAAAAATGTTAAAGAACAGGAAATAGGAGCCATAGCATTGTGTTTGAAAGCTTAATGTCCAAAGAGAGAAGAATGCTTAATACAAAAGCAAACACCATGCACAAATGTCGTCGGTTGAAAGATACCTTTCAATCCAGGTTTACATTTGCAGACAAAGCCGGCAGCTTGCTGGGGGCGGAAGCGGCCTGGCAGGAGAGGCTCCCTACCATACATCACCTCCCAGGAGAGTTCATGGCACACGCCGGCAGAGAGACAGGGGCTGCTGCTGCACTCACTGACGTCCACCTCACAGTGACTGCCCTGGTACCCTGTGTGGGAAACCCCGTCAGCAAAATATCAAGTACTTTCACAGAGAATAAGCAGGATTTCTGGGAGTAAACAGATTATAATAACCGCAAAATATTACTCCGTATTGGAGAATAAATAACCCGTGTTAAGTTTAGTTTAGGTTGAGCTGTGGGTCAGGTCTTCTAGCTATGCTGAAGCCAGTGGCTTGAGTGGTTCATTTCAGAAAAGAAAAACAAAGGCCACTATAGCAGATAAAGGGTATATTTTGGGGGTGGGATGTTGTACCTGGCCAGCAGTTACATGTGTAGTTTCCGTGCTTCTCTTGGCACAGGCCGTTGTTGAGACAGGGCTGGGATGTACACGGCATTATGGGAGCTTCACAGCTGTAACTGGGAAACAGCATTTCACATTAGCATACAACGCTACTTCACGTCAGCTAGGCTACCAACCATCGCAAATGAATTTCAACATACATATTTATGAAGTACTTATTAAGGAAGTGTAATTCTGCAATTCATATTAGCCCTTGTTAGCTAAGAGATGCTATTAGCAGTTACTCTGCACGTCCACAAACATTTCAGAAAAAGTTCAACTGAATGTCGTCTCAGGAGACGCGACTGCAGTTGCAGGAAATAGGCATGAATATTATATCCTGTACCCATTTACTCCATCAACACAGAGGGCCCCATTCTGACACGGCTGGCTTCGGCATTCGTCAATGTTGATTTCACAGAAGTCTCCCTGGAAACCAGCCGGGCATAAGCAGGAGAAGCCCCTTAGGTAACCATGACAACTGCCGCCATTCAGGCAGGGCCGGGACTGGCACTCGTCAGTCTGGAGCTCGCAGTTTGAACCTGAAAGGGATTCATTCTAAGTTGTGTCATTTCTGAATCCATCACTATAATAATCAGTTATAATTTTGACTCGTTCAAAACTGAGGGCATGACTTCAGGAGTCAGTAACCAATGAAAAATGTACAATAATATAAAAAAGCCAAACATAAAGACACAATGTGGCTTTGAGGTTGTATATATACCTGCACAGAATTATCTAGCAATGGAACTTACTAATATTATTATTTATCATAAAGTGTTAATGTAATGTAGTAATACATAATGAGTCATCCATCCATCCATTCATCCATCCATCCATCCAATTTCTGTACCCGCTTGTTCAAGGTCATGGGGGTCTAGAGTTTATCAGAGAAGCTACAGGCACAAATATATACACTGCATAAGTAAAATCACCTATATACAGTAAATGCTTACACTACTTTTTCGAAGTTGTGCAAAGATCAGCACAATAGTATTACTGGCAGGGTAGAGCTGGCTTGCTATGAACAGGCAGAAAAGTGGAGGCATTTTTTTAACTGTAGGTTTACACAGTATGTAAAAATGACACTTCAGTTACAGGACTGGCAGTAGAAGAAGAACTGGGGGTGTGTGGCTCAGCGGGCTACAGCCGGGCACCAGGTATCAGAAGGACACTGGCTCAAATCCCAGGGTGAGCAGAATGATGTCACCATTGGGTCCTTGAGCAAGACCTTTAAACCCAATTGCTCCAGTGACCCTCTGACCCTGCTCTGTGAACTGCTTTGGATAAAAGCATCTGCAAGATAAGAAGACTGTCATTCAACAGTTTGAAACATGTCTTAGATTTTTAGTAATTATTGAATTAAAGCCTTTGTGTTGCTTTACCACTCCATTTCCATTTTTCATTCCAGTTACAATGTTATGCCTTTTTTAGACTGGTCTTATACTGGTCTCTGTGAAAAGTGCTGGTTTCTCACCACTCACCTGTGTAGCCCGGCTTGCAAAGGCAGGCGTACCTCCCAATCCTGTCCGTGCAAGTGGCTCCATTCTGGCAGGGCTGGGAAGCGCACTCGTTTACCTCGATCTCACAGTGTTTACCCTGGAAGCCTGGCACGCAGTAGCAGGCATATGCGTCCCCCTTGCTCCTGCAGATCGCCCTGTTCCGGCACGGGTTCGGGACGCAGTGGTTCACGCGGCCCTCACAGTGGGCACCCGCATAGCCTCCCTTGCACTTGCAGGTGTAATTGGGCTCTTCGCGGAGGCGGGGAGAGCGGTGACACTGTACATCCCCGCCGCAGAGGCGCCGGGCGCAGAGCTGGACCTGAGGCTCGCAGTAGCCCAGGTGACACTGGCAGACGAGCTCTCCGGAGCCCGTGGGGGGTGGGGTACATGAAACCTTCTCCTGGCAGGACACGGGGCGGCACGGGCCTTCGGACTCCTCGCACCTCGTGCCGGAGCGAGGAGGCACGTCGGAAGCACACCAGCACAGGAAGTTCACTGGGGCTTCCTGACAGAGCGCCCCATTTTGGCAGGGATTAGACAGGCAGGCAGAAAGGACCTTCTGTGAAGATTCACCTGGAACAGTGGGCCGAAATATCAGCCAGTCAAACTGTATTCAGGAGGACAGAAGCTCGTTTTTACAGAAAGCTTCACAGCAGAAACTAAAACAATACCAGAGAAATAGGCATAAACAAGTCGCTTGGTTCCTATGGTTTTATTCTCTGTAGAACAGCTTCTACTCTATCTTCAAACTGCTTACCCATTATTTGGGGAATGAAGTCCATGACAGATGCCAGCCAATCACAGGACACGAACATAAACGATGGGCAATTTAGAGAAGTTAATTCACCTGACTGTTTGTCTTTGCACTGTTGGAGGAATGACACTGAGCACACATGCAACACACAGCAAGGGTGGGATTTGAACCCCCAACCCTGGAGGTGTAAGGCCACAATGCCCCCCCCCTGAAAAGCCAACATTTATAGAGTAATATACATTTAATGAGCAATTTTAATTTACCAGTTAGCACACAGTAATTCCAGTTAAACAGATGATTTAAGGAGCAGGTGAACTGATAAGTAGTGAAAGTAGATGTGTCTAAAAGTGCATCGTCAGCTCAGTGGTCCTTCCTGAATCCACAAATGCCACAAACACTGCAGCATGAATTAATGCTGTAGCTGATATACAGTCTGAGTAAGACACACTAGATGCCGTTTTTTTTGGCCTGTTGACATTTCCACTGACAGACAGCGATGAGTCACCGATCCGAATAAGAACATTGCAGCAGGTGACGGCGTTTACAAAGGTGGAACTGTCAGTCCCTAAACGTGGGAGGTCGTGAAACACAACCACCACATGTGGAGTTTTAAGCAACTGCTCAAGGTTTTATATGAGACTCTTCTGGTATCAAATGAAAATAAAAAGTGCACTCAAGGATCTTCTCAACACAAACTGCCTGACAGTCAAAACTACCTATCCATCTTCCAGTGGCTCATCCAGTGCCAGGTCAGAATGTGACAGCTACATGGCAGCACTGCGTGCTCAAAAATATGTTTTCAACTTTGTCATAATACCACATAATTCTGCACTGTTTCACCACCCTGCCAAGTTCCTGACACTACTTTGCCTCACAATCATCTAGCTGTGCTTGCTGACTATGAGTTGTTGCTCTCCGTGAACAAGTTATTTAAAATATCATTTATGATATTTACATTTAACCTGGCAAGAAATTGGCATCCTGGTTGCCCCACTGCCTGGTGCCTTGGGCTCCATTGGGTAGCATCTTGGCACTGCACTAAATAATGGTTATAGAAGCTGGATGGATTCATAAATTTACTGATTACATTTTCCAAGAATGCCATCAGTCCAACACCTTTTTCTATTCTTTATATATCTGCTGGGGGAAACTACTCTATATGACTACTTGTTTATGAAAATGAATTAGGCTAAATATTCATGATCATCACCTTGTCACTGTTGCCAGCAGTGAATGATAAACATGCTGGGTCAAAGCAGCCAGAGCTGAAATCTTAGGACATTTCTCTGTTTGTTGACAAATGTAATGATTTTACCTGCCTTACAAAAATGAAAAGCAAAGACTATTCCTGATACAAAGTTAACTTCTTATGAGCTATATTAGTAGATGCAGTACTAGCTACAGAAACAGCCACAGCAGGATCCAAGCACAGAAACGTATACAGTAATTACAAGAGAGTGCTATTTTTTCTTGTCCAAACCACTCCTATTTCCTTTTTTGGGCACAATGATGCTGGCAAGATGTTTCTTCTAACAAAGCACGCATCATGCTGCCATGACAACCAGCTGCATGGTTCTGTCTCTGAATCCGAAGTATTTCCATGGCGACCGCATGCTGATGTAGTAGTCAGTTATGCGAGGCATTTACTGTATTTTTGAATAGTTTGTATAGCTTGCTAACATAATGGTGTTACCTTTCAGAAAACAAGGAGAAATATGTTAGAAAAAAACAGAACAGATGTAAAAATATTTCATACATGTGAACCAGTTGTGAACTAGCTACAGAGAGAGCAATGACAATTGTACATAAAATTCAATCTGCTGTGTCTTTGAAGACTGAGGATTTTAGTGATGTAAATCAGATACTTCATATAAACGCTACAATAAAAATGACAATTATAGGAATAATCTTGTCTTTTTCATTCAGATAAAAATTCTAAAGTATGGATACTTTGTCAAAATATGATTACTGGTATAACTGAAAGCATCCTTTCTGTAGGTGTGAAATGTCTGAATGTTCAAGACAGAATGAAAGTAAGACATGGACTACAGGACTTCTGGCTTTTCACTACAAGGTGGAACAGTGGATACGTCATGTTACTGCAAGTTCATCAATGTTCAGGTCGAATTTATATGCAGTTTTATACCTTTTTAAAGAAAAAATCTCCTGGTTTTTATCAAAGACAACCCTTTCCTGAAATTTCACTCTTGGTCTTCTCTTAAACATAATTATGGGTAAATCCCATAATATTTTTTTCAACTTTTTCTTTCTAGTGTCTGTGCTTTCAACTTAAAAATAAACTATTTATCTTAATTTTTAAAGCAAAACCACTATCAGTTCATTGTCAGTTAATTGGTTAATTAAATTAATGTCCGGGATGAGCTATCTCAAATGTTGGTTTATTGCTGGCATGTGCTAGCGATGATCAGGCAGTAAAGCGAGGATAGCCACGTTCCTCAGCTTCACACACCTGGTGCACATCAAACACTGCCCTCTGTCTCTCTGCATCCAGTCTGAAACCTTAGATGACATCAAAGGGGGGTCTAATCTTACAAGAGAAACACAGATTCTCACTGCTATAACAGAACAAATTTGCAGAACAAATTAGGCTACTACTAAAATAATCTGCCATGCAAGGGCTGGAATGTCTGAGATGAGTGTAAATGTATTAAAAGGCTTCACACAGAATTTGCTTCTCGAACAAAGAAGATTTGTTTCACTGTCAGCTAATTTAAAACTGCTTGTTTCCTCATCTTTCAGACCATGTATCTGCAAATGCTGTTCTCCTGTCATCGATTGGCTGTACGGCAAGCTTCAACAAGGTTCCTATTATGTAAAGGTGTTCAAATGTTCATGTTTAGCTGTCTAGACCCAGACATTTAGACTAAGATTTCTGAGTAATGCAGAAAATTTCCAAGACACCTCAGGTTAAGCACTGAGCACCCATTAGGGTCAAAGGGTCATATGTCTACAATGACAGATTTTTTGGAATGTGTCTAACCTGTGTCCTGATTTAATGTTTTAGTTAAACAATCGCTGGTCATTTCATTTGTCATAACATTTATCAAGATGTAAATACAATGAACACTCTTCTGCCATGTCCACATTTTTTAATCCAAGTCAGGTATGTATTTACATTATTTCACATAGATGCCATTTAACTCCAATTATGAATAGTGTCTTGCGTGTAACTGATTGTATTTGGACAGAAAATTAATTAATTAGGTTGTGGTTTGGGGAAACATGCACTGAGCAGTTTTACAGTATGATATGAGCATATTAATTGTACATTTACTCGTGAGTTAGTAACAAAGATCAAAACTTAATACCTAACATATAGCAAAACGTATGCTTACTAACATTATACAATAAGGAGTCTAATACAGCACATCATAGTTTTCTTAAAACCGATTTTCTCGTTCATTATACCATCCGCTATGCTCTTCCCGAAAATAGTCAGTTCAGTAACTGAAGGTAATCAGTATTTTAATTTCTCGCCATGATGTAATTTAACCAATTGTAACGAAATATTCCTTTAATTTTACTTCCATCATATGTGAGTTTATAAAGATGGGAAGTATTTACATATTTATTTTTACACGAATTATAGGCCTATACATTTGATTAACAATTGAACACAAATGCCGTTAAAACAATTCATTTAAAATGCGGTATAATTAATAACTATGCACACAAGGAAAATCCTCACTGTATAAATTAATATTTATAGCCTAGATAGAGGAAAATACGGTATACAACAAACACTATCATTGCATTTCTAAACTGAAAGAGAAAATCACCAGTTATCAACTAAATAAAAATAGTACAGAAATACAAAAACTGTATCATAAGACTGACGCTTACTTGCTGTCGAGGCCGAAATTGCAAGAAACAGCAGTACCCAGCCCTTTGCCTTAAATCTGCCAGACAAGGAGAGAGCCATGTTCGCGATTAGAAAGCATCCTGTTTGCGGGCTGTTTCGTATGACGACGGTGCGCTTGTCGGGTTCAGACGTCGGGGTCCCGACTCAAGCTGCAAGGTGCAAACGGACTTGTTCCGTGAATCGACACCAGACGGCGCTAGTGAGCCGTTCCTGGGTGCGCAACAGGCAGCTTGGGAACACCGACGAAATGTCGGCGAGTTAATTAGCAAAATGAACCGGAATTACAAATGCAGTATTGGTAAAGAAATGTAATGGAGTTAAATTACAATTAAGAGTAAATGATGTCGTTTACTATTTTCAAGGAATAAACGTGTAATAATACTTTCTGTTCGATACTATTGACTGAGAAATAAGAATGTCGCGTCATTTTGATGTTATATATAGCCTACAGTTTCGAAGTTAAATTAAGTTTTATTACAACTTCACGTAAGTCATATTTGCATGAAAATGTTTCCATTTCAAGCCGATCTGCGTGATTAGCAGTCTGTTTTTACACGAATTATATACATTTCATTAACATATGTGATACAGGGCCCAGCTCATACTGCCCCTGCACTGTAAATGCAGATGTGTAAAATGGATGGATTGATGGATGAGCGAATTTTGAAATCGACACTATTAGTGATTAAGCCAGTGATTCTCAAAATGAGTCATGATAGGTGGGGAAAGAACTAACGTCGGAGTCATTTTCAAGGCGGTACCGTTAGCGACCTACTCATTCACTGCTATCATTAAGAGCCCTGTCTATTTTATGCTTGAAATCTTTGGCAGCTGACAGTATGAAACCTCTCACTAAATGCCTTTTTCACCTCTCTTCACAAGTTTCTGCATTTGTTCTTGTTTATACAGACTGAATTTTATTGTATTTCCGGAAATGTGCAAATTCTGCTTAATTTGCCTTTTTTTTGGTTGAAAAAGTGACTATTGAAGCAGTGTAGTGACGAATGTCACAGAAAGTTGTTTGAAATTAAAGTTGTTTTTTTTTTGCTTAACAAAACTTACTGAAGAAATTTATGTTAATGAGTTTGATTTTACCTAAAGTTACACCTAGGCTTTTCTGTCATTGTTTTGCTGAGGTGGGATGTGAAAATATTTCTTCCTGCCAAGTAGGGAATGATAGAAAAAGTTTGAGAACCACTGCATTAAGCGATGCCACTATTTATACTGACCGACTGGGACCCGCTGCCTCCTTATATCCATCCCACCCGTGTATCTTTGTATCTGCAGTGATTTTCAGGTATATGGACATACATATGCTATGGTTACACAGACAAACTAATACACTGCACGCTGCGCCGCACTGAGCTCACATACCGAACAGGACGGAAGTGTCCCAGGAACAGAGCTCATTGGTCAATTTTAAGCATTTTTATTGCGTCCTCAAATTTGAAGAACGTCAGCGCCTCTGATTGGCTTTCCTTTGTTTATCTTGCAGGGATTGGATGGCTATGCAGGAACCCCGCAATTCTACTGGTCGGGGCGGAAAATTCAAATGGAGAGGCGAGGCTACTGGTGTGAGCCCAATTCTTCGGCTGTGTCGGATGGTTAGGGCGTAGATGCAGGCGTTGTGTTTATTTTTATTCTGGTATCTTCTCGCGGTGGCGTTTATATAGTACGGTATTGGGGGTATATTTTGACACAGGCGTTGCCCGGTAGCTGTTTTTAAAAGGCATGTAAAGCATGTCGCTCTCTGGGAGCACTTTCGTGGGTTTTAGTCCGAATGGCTTCCAGACCGGCGATGGAAACAAGGAGAACCGGAGGGCGACGGCCGTGCTCAGTTTGGTCCAGTTCACACGGCCCCCTTTCCTGGGTTTCGGGACTGTTAAGCTGGGCTCCTCGAAGTCGGCCCTTCTGTGCATCGAAAACCCGAACGAATACTCAGCGGATGTCAAAGTGGACCGTATCCCCTCCACTAAGGGCTTCGCTGTTGATCAGACCCAATTCACTGTCCAGGTAAGGGGCTGATACTCATTATAACTCGGTATGTAACTCTAACCAGCTAGTTAACTACTAAGCATGTCGATGTGTGTTTATTAACTTTCGGCATTTATCAGCTATTCTTTTCAGGCATTGTGTTTAGTTTACGTAGTTGCATTGTTCTGGTTGATTTAGCAATGCAGCCTGCAGTTAATGCGCTTTTCGGTGAATGTTGTCATAGAGTCTGTAGTTGGTCTAACTTAACTGTCTTATCCACACCGAAATAACTTTGTTGATAATTAAAAGCAAGTGTACCACGTATGAACGAGCTTTTCTCCACATCAGCGATGAGTAACATTTTGTGTTCATGCAGCCAACTGGAGATGTGACTTTGACAATTACCTGGACCCCGGTGGAAGAAGGTGGTGTGAGGGATCTTGTGGTCATCACAGTGAATGGCATTGTCAAGCATCAAGCCATTCTGCTCGGGAAAGCAGAGGCTCAAAAAAAGAAAAAGGTATTGACTGTAATTTTTAGTTCATTTATTGTAAAGAAATGCATGATATGCAGATAAGCATTTATTACAATTTTTTTGTATCTTGTAGAAGAGTTTGTGGGATTCCATTAAAAACAAGAAAGCAAGTGATCTTTCAGCACCACGAAAAGGAAAGGGAGCTGATCTTTCTCTGAAAAGAGCAGGCAACAAAACTTTCCATGTGTCCCGACAATCTCAGTACAAGAAGACTCGGGTGCGAGGGCCCCTTGAACCTTTTAACCAAGACCCTGTGGTCTCTGTGGTTTCCAAGAGGGTGCCAGTCCTGCCACCATCTGTGACTGTCCAAGATGACGAGGTGCTACAGAAGAGCCTCACGCCAACCTCTCTTCAGTCGCCTTGTGTGAAGTATGGCAAAATGAACCAGGAAAATCTTTTCCCGTTCAACAGAGACTCACCAGTAGTTCTTCTCGTCCCTGCTGCCACCCTTGTTGATGTTGCGAATTCGGGTGAAAAGCAACTGAAACATGTACCTGATTCAGAAGAAGACCCTGTCTGCGGAGATGTTACACAGGTGTTAAACAGGACTCACTCACCTGTTAAACCAACACAGTATGTTGTGAACAAGTCAATACCATGCATTGAGTTTTGTCCAAGTCCAGCCTCTAATTTGAACAAACAAGGGTCTGATATTAACCAGGCTGTTTTGCCAAGGACTCCGGTCTTGTCTATGAGAGATGCTTTGGCAGTTATTCAGTCAGATCTAACGCAGTTGGAAAGTCCCCCAAATGCTTGCTCTAGCTTTGAATTCTCGGATTCTCTTGAGTCGTTGAAGGGAAGCAGTGAAATCAGGCAATTTCATGTTAACTCTGAAGCAATGGGACCAGACATGCTTAATGACACTTCCTTGGAGTTCACACCTGCAAAGCAAAGACTGACTTTCTTCGTGAAGTCAAGGCCTGTCTCAGGCAGTAGACGTGGAAATGAGGAGAATGACAGCCAGGCTCCCCTGGTTTCCAGCAAAGTTCCGTTCACATCTGTCACCGTAATCAAAAACAAAGGTGGTAAAATGCAAGAAACTTGCCCAGAAACTCAAAAAACAGGAACCTCAAGGCGTTGCCTTTTGGGAAAGACTGTTGAATTACCAGAGGGTGACTGGGTGAAACCAAATATTGATGAAAGAAGTGACATTTGTGTTCTTCCTATTATTGATTCAGCTGTTAGCTGTGATGGCAATACAGTAAATTCTCAATCCAGGACGGTGATACCTGAAATTTCTCCAATCAGGTGTGTTAGCACAGATCTGTCTGTCTTGTCTCCAGTGGAGGCTATCCAGTCTTGTAAATCCTCAACTCACCCTTCCAGTCCTAAAGTCAAAACCAAGTCTACTGTAAGACCATTGGTAGTTCAGCCAGAAGGATGTGCTGTCAAGCCAGCGGTCTGTACCACTCAGTCTGACACTGGCCACAAAAAAAGGAAGAGTGACGAGTTTTTGAAGGAGAACTTCGATGATACAGTTTTCCAAGTGAAAAGGGCCCGTGCGTTTCCAGCAACCAAGGAGACAAAACCAGTGGTAGAGAAAAGGCTTGGCTCTAAATCCTCATCACAAAGGCCACAGGCAGCAGCGGGTGAGATTATTTTTTCTTAATATACACAAAGCTGCTTTTCCCTGCTTGTAAGTACCGGCTCATTTGCATCATTCTAATATCATGCTTCTGTTGCAGCCGCACTGAGTTCTCGTTCATCTGCATCTGCAAAATCCACTGTAGGCATGAGTCGGCCCAAGCGTTCAAAGATTTCGAAACCGGTTAACCGGGGTAATACTTCTTATCTAAACTCTTAATGAAATTGAATTGACTGGAGAACATGTAGTACACAGCTGTAAAGGGAAATGGATGTAATACTTTTACTTAATTGTTTGGTAAAAGATCAGTCATGGTTTGCATTGTTGCCTAGCAAATTCTTTTGTTTATTATTATTTTTTGGATCTTTTAAGTGTCGCAGCCTGTGAAACCATTTGGTGTCTCATCACTGAAGACTTCTAAGGTTGTGGCGGTGGCCCAGTCGCATCTAACATTCATAAAGCCAGCACAAACTGGTATGTATGGAGCCGGAATAGCTGATGTGCTCTAGAACGGCATATAATTTGTTTATGCTTGTGATAATTCAGCTGGTTATTCTGCTTATAAATGTACCCGAATTTTACCTAAATGGACACAAAATAATACCACAAAATCAATCGCAGGTATTTGCAGGTTTCCAAGCGAGTGTGAGTTTAGTTGCTGTCGTGCTGGTTGCTTTTTTTCATAATTGTCAAAGTGAACACCCTTTTTTTTGCAGTTATACCACGACACCCATTGCCGTTTGCAGCCAAAAACATGTTCTATGATGAAAGATGGATGGAGAAGCAGGAGAGAGGGTTTACAATGTGGATGAACTATGCTCTCACTCCCGATGAGTTCAAGGTCAACACAGAAGTCACCAAAGGTAGCTTGGAATTGTGATTGACAGCTGCTGCAGGTTCTCTCAAAGAGCAGCCGGTTATCAGTCCCATGTCAAATCGCTCGGTGCAGTTTTCACACAATGCAGATTTAAACTCCATTACATTTCTGTGACATCTTAATTTTCTTTTTCTCCTTTAAGTGAACGCCATGTCTCTGGCGTTTCAGTCCAACCAGCCTTTTAACATTTCAAAAGCCCCGACGAAAGAGGAGGTGTCCTTCAGGACGTACACAGCCCGGAGGCGGCTGAACCGCCTTCGCCAGGCCGCCTGCCTGCTCTTCACTTCTGAGTCGATGGTCAAAGCCATACGGAGGCTGGAGCTGGAGGTGGAGGCCCGGAGACTCCTGGTGCGCAGGGACCGGCACCTCTGGAAGGACATCGGTATGTCTGGGAGTTTGACGGCTCTTATGTCTCATTCTCAGGTCTCCGCTCATATCTGTGCTTGACTGGTAACCTCCTTATGTGTAATTCCTGAAAAAAAATTATGGTTTATGTTTAGATCTAATTAGGTAAAAAGCTGTTATAGAATATAACTTAGACTCAATAAATTCAGGGAAGGACTTAAATGTCTCTTTTTGAAGAAGTTATTTTTAGTATTGCGCTGATTCTGCATTGTAAATATTAAATTGTATATTGTAGTAGACTAGACTTTACATCCTGTAACATCTGGTGGTTTCTGCTCCTAGTGTTCAATTTTAAGATCAGTTTAACTGTATTATGTGGACATAATTCAAGATCGCTTGAAATGTGCTTATTTTAGGGCAACGTCAGAAAGTTCTCAACTGGCTTCTTTCCTACAATCCTCTTTGGCTGAGGATTGGACTTGAGGTATTGTGTGATACATTTTCTTTGTATTTTTAAATGAAACGATGATTTTGGAAGGTATATGTTCTCATTCTCTTCACTCATTTCCAGACCATTTTTGGAGAGATGATTCCTTTAGAGAGTAATAATGACGTCATGGGACTGGCTATGTTCATTCTCCGCCGTCTGCTGTGGAATCCAGACATTGCTGCCGAATTCAGACATCCTAAAGTCCCTCACCTGTACCGTGATGGTAATGTGTACAGCGTGTTGTTTCCTTGGCTGAAACACACAAGTCGTTTTGTTGAGTCATGCTGTTACTAATGCCTGTTCATTGCTATTGACCAGGTCACGAGGATGCCCTGTCCTCTTTCACATTGAAGAAGCTACTTCTCCTAGTCTGCTTTCTTGATAAAGCAAAGGAATCCAAAATTATTGAGCATGACCCGTGCTTATTTTGCATGGATGCTGAATTCAAGGTAGGGAAGATCTGTGTTTTATTGGATGTTAGCTAGCTACCTAGAGTAAATTTTTAAAAGTTTGTAGATAA